TGGAATAGCAGCCACATCCTCCAACCACTGTTCACAGCTGTACCTGATGACTGGCTAAAAGGAGTGATTGTCAGGATCCCATGCAAAGAAAAGAACCGTGAGCGATTGCAACAAATGGAGGGGAATCACTCTATTGTCCTTGAAAATTAAGATCCTGGCCAAGATAATCATCAAAATAATGCCAAATACTGTTGACGCTGTATTGAGGAAAGAACAAGCAGGATTAAGGAAACAGTGAGGATGTACTAACCAGACCTTTGCATTCCGCAACGTCATAGAGCAGTGCACAGAGCAAGTGGCAGAGACAACTGTATGTAAACTTCGTGGACTTTGAAAAGACATTCGATAGCATGCACCGAAAGAGCCTTTGCATGGAGCATCATATGTCATTATGGTATTCTATTCAAACTGGTCCACATGATAAAGAGATTTTATAACAACTTCAGAGGCTCAGTAGGACACAGTGACACCCTCTTCTATGTTTAAACCGGAGCCAGTCAAGAATGCATAATGTCTGAAGTACTAGTATAACTCGACTTGGTCAACGATTGGTTCATACGGAAGACAACAGATCTAGAAGACTCCCGGGATCCGCTGGAGCCTATTCTCAAAATTGGAGGATCTGGCCTGGGGGCCATAAAACTTAGACGAGCTCACTTTTGATCTCAGTCTCACATTTCCATTTAATATTCCTTTGGTAAAAGTGAGACTGAGATAAAAAGTGAGTTCGTCTAAGTTTTATGGCCCCCAGGCCTGGACTTTGCGGATGTCCTTGCGCTAATGAAACACACATGAACATATCCAAGAGAAGATCAACAGACTGCAAACCTACAGACAGCAGATGGGGCTACGCATCAGTACGAAGAAGACGTAGACAATGACGCCTAATTTGTTGACCCCCCCCCGGTCATTATTATACCCCCCGCTTGAAAAGCGGGAGGGTATATAGTAATCGTTAATTCCGTCCGTCTGTACGTCTGTCCGTCCGTCCGTCTGTCTGTCCTTCCGTCCGTCTGTTACGCTTTGGGTTACCCATCTCTTATCCGCAACTCCTCTCATACCACTGAATGAAATTTGATGAAACTTTCACAGAATCTTTATTAAATATTGCCATTGTGCACCTCCTATTTAACTTTTTGATCTGACACATATTTTGGGTTTCCCAGCCACAGCAAAACATGGACTTTGCAATTATAACTATATGGAGGCGGGGGGTATCATTTAGTGAGCTCATCGCTCACAATACCTCTAGTTTTATGGAGGTCATTATTCGTCTTTACACCGGCTCCAAGCTGTTTTAAAAGGTAAATGGTGAAGAACCACGCCAGATGGATAACTTTATTTACCTGGGTAACATTAATTATCAATCCAGAGAGTGGCACAAAGGAGGACGTCCCTAGCAGACTGGGCAAGACCAGCAGAGATTTTTGAGAAACATATAACACTTGGAGGTCTGCCAAGGCCGTAACTACCATTGAGGCAAGTGAGGCAAATGCCTCACTAAATGTTTAGATATTTATTTTTTTTTGAAAAGTGAAAAAGTTTTACATTGAACTTATAAATTATGTGTGTCTTCGTACTAAATTAATATTTTCAACTTTTGTTTCAATATATGTACATCGTTCATCTCACCCGGTGCCTCATTGTCATTTAGAACGAATGTAGCTGCAGATCTGTAGCTCTCCGAAAAAAATATATTGATAGACCGGAGAGCTACAGTGCCACCCATTGAATAAACTGTATATTAATTGCGCACAGAAAAGTGCGCTCGGTTCTTAATTAATTCTTGCAAATTCTTACCTCAATTGCAAATAAGGAAAGATTTCAAAAAATTCCTTTATCTTCTATCAAGTACTCTCTTAGTTGACATCCGAACGAAGCATATTGGACCGAATTATCTTTGAAACCAAAATGGCAGTATAAATAAGCGAAATGTTCGATGATTACAATACCATGGTCAGGAGGACTATTAACAACAATTATGAGGAATTTTTGGTTGTGGAAAAAGCGAAAGAATATGTTAGGAACACACGGTTAGTAATATTTTGAGATTACAGTTTGAAAACATGGAGAAATAAATCGAGAACCGAGCGCACTTTTATGTGCGCAATAAATATACAGTTTTTTCAATGGGTGGCACTGTAGCTCTCCGGTCTATCAATATATTTTTTTTCGGAGAGCTACAGATCTGCAGCTAGAACGAATGTAAAATTTTAGAAAAATATAATCCAAAATGTTTGTTTTGTAAATTGTTTGATTGTTTAACATCCCTTCCAAGCTTTTTTCATTCATATGGAGACATCACTCCTTGTCGGTAAAGGGCTGCAAGTTTTACATCTGCACTAGGCTTTCAGGGTCACTGAAGATGATGAAACAGTGAGATATTTTTTGTGCCATCACTTACTGGGACGTAGGACCTCGGTTTTTAATCTCATCCGAAGGACCGGACTATTCCGCAATGGGATTCGAACTCGCGATGTAAGGATCAACTCCTTATTCTGCGACTTTAGAGCGTTCGCTCTAACCACTGTGCCATTCGGTCGACAATTCCAAACGTATTTCTAAGATTAAATCTTTTATGTACCCAAGTTTCAGGATCCCCCTCCCTCCCCCTGGAAACCCCCGTCACTGATCATCAGGTACTACAGTTGCTCCGTCTGGGACTAGTGCCCAGCACCCTTGCCTCACTAAAAATTTGAGCCTAGTTACGGCCTTGTCTGCACTGTTACAACGCACTTTGAAAAATTACGCACTTTGAAAATTTTTTCAAAGTACACGTACGTTAAATTTGGGACCAAATCAACACTTTGAAAAAATAAAATTTCTTTTCAGAGTGCGTTAATATCGACCATATTAACGCACTTTGAAAAAATGTGTATGGCTTGGTCAATATTCTTGCAAATCTTAGGAGTGATAAATAATTGAACCTGTTTGATAACTCTTTGGTGATGAGGTCACTTCAGGATGTGAAAGTGAGCGATTTTGATTTCTCTCTTAAATGTTTTACTCTATGTAAATTTTTCCAGTTTACTGAATGTTTTACTGTAATTATTTTTTTTTCATGAATTTTATGTAACCTAAAATTTATTGAAAGTTTTTAACGTCATACCAGTTATGCAAATACATATATTTGGGTGTAACATAGGCATCGGTACCGGAAGGTGGAGGAGGGGCCTTCGGCACACAAATGTTTTGCAAAGATACACATAGTATAGGTATTGAAAATTGGGCTTACCTTGGGAGGGGATCCACTTTCAATTTGCTACCGACGGCTTTGTACAATGTACAAGAAAAAATGTTAACCTGAGAGACCTTCTACTCGTCTTCTCCTTGTTCTCAATGAGGTTAAATGAGTACATGTAAAGATATAATTATTACAAATTGATTCTCTCAATTACTAAAATCTAAGTCTAAAATTTTTGTTTTATACATATTTTTTTTCAAAGTGCGTAAAATGTCACCGTGGCAAAATATGTGGTAAAAAAATTTGAATGTCCCAAATTTAACGCACTTTGAAAACGTTTTTCAAAGTGCGGTGATTTTGTCCCAACTTAACGCACTTTGAAAATTTTTTTTTCAAAGTGCGTTGCCACACTGCACTGTACATCACCAGAACCAAGCCAAAGTTTACCAGAGCTGTTTTGTATCAACTTTTCTGTGTGTATCTGGATCGGAATGCTGGAGAATAACAGAAACAAATCTTAGCAAATTACGATTCTTCTATTTTACGTACCTCCGTCAAATACTTAGGATTTTATTACAAATGAAGACCTACTGGGCAGATGTAAACAAGAGGACATGGGTACCATCATTACAAAACGCCGATGTTTTCACGTTTTCCTTCCATCTGAAGCTTACCGGTATATTCATGTGCCGTAAAACACGGTTATAGCAGATACTCTTATAATGAATTTTTACTTTTAAAAATTGCAAAGTGAATTTCATTCTACGTGAATTTATTATGTATTGTAAACTTGAAGGAAATAAGAATTACGCTTATATTGATTCGAAACTAAATCATTCGTCCCTTGCAATTCTTTACAAGCAGTAGATAAAAAGAGAATATATCGAGACGAGTCATTCCTGTCGATAATTTTACAGATAATTTAAGAAATAAGCGGTATTATTATATGTTTCATCCTTCCATGTTAATAGAAATTGATTTTGTAGTTCTTTGGCATATTTAATATGACTTTTATTAATGATTTTCCGAAAATAATTCTTCTTTGAACATAAAATTAATATTTTATAAAACATTTATCAAAGATTATTGCCTACATAGCGGTTCTTCAAAAAGATTTCAATATCGCTCAAAACTTTATGGCACAATTATTTTAAGCACAAGAAATTAAGGGTACTTTTATAATTTGAAAACAACAAACATTTCTTCGGAGAGATTTTAGTTCTAGTTTGTATTATGCGTTCATATGTTTATTAACGTGTATGCCTTATTATGCTAAAATTGTTTGGCAACCGCGACTTCATGAAGATTATATACATTGCAAATTACTTTAAGACAAAAAAATTATAAAATATGGAAATAACACACGGTATTTACAGTCAAAGTCAAAATTGGGAGCAGAATATTGATATCCCGAAACATCAGGGCTTGAGTTAGATTCCATGTAGGAGTAAGCTTCCTCTGGTCAAAACACCATGCACTCCTTGACATGATTGGGGATGCGGAAAAAAATCATCAACATTTGTTTTACATGTATCAACATTTTGATTAATGGTTTGCTTCATTTAAAAAAAATCGATCGTACAAAAGTATCATCTTGAGTTTTCTGCATGTAAAAATTGTATAGCTTGAAGTGTAGAGTAAACTTTTTACGTACAGGTAATAAGAAAGAAGAGGGGAAGGACACTCACAGGCTTATTTCGAAATGGAATACACCTTTTTCTGCATTTCACTTCTACTATGCAATTCCACGATAACCATTGATGTAAATTCAATTTATTTAACATATAATTCCCAAAAAGAATATAGTCTAAAATTTGCCCTTTATGAGTACAATAAAAACGGGTTTCTCACAAATAAGTTGATGTTACAAGGAATTTGATTACTTCAATACCCGCGTCATTTAATATATATAATATTTACACTGTTTATGCGCAAATAGCGCAATATAAAACACCTTTCATGAACGAAACATGTTAACTGCCGAATATAAACATAAAACTCGTAGAATACATAATCATAATCTAAGCATAAAACTGGTTCGTTTCTCTTCTTGGTTGTCTTTCAACAGCATACTCTTGAAATCAAAAACTTCAGAAACGTAATGATGTCTGGAATAACAAGCAGACAGCTTACAAAGCTCAAAATACTGACACCCAAGGTCATTCCGATGATCTGACTGGACATTCGGGGGTCACTAGCACTTACTCTTTTCCTTATATTAGACGAAAGATTCGCCTTCACGACGGTAAGATTTTTTCGAATACGGTTTACTGCGCCTCGGACCTCCTCTGTCGTCATTGTGGCAAAAGTTCGGGTTTTACAGTCGCAGACTGAACAATTCTGAGCAGGGTTGTCCGTAGTCTGGCTTCCTCTGCCGTCATTGGGGTACCTTGTTGTACTAGTATCTAATGTAAATTATGAATATTGTTACCAAAATAAATAATAAATGAATAAAAAAAAAATACATATACCATAATTAAATCATTTCCTTTGACTCATTTAGTATTGCAAGAATTTTGATTAATACTAGTATACTTTTTTTTGACAGTGGTCTAACTACATTAATGTGAAGCAGTGAACTGTTAAAACTTGCCTACGACTTTTATCATGTTTTTACTTGAATGAAATATCTAATCTTTTTCTTCAGGCGTTTTTAATCAATTTTGATATTTAATGGTCAAAGAAAACGTGTTAGATATCAAAACTGTGAAAAACGCCTGGAAAACGTTACATATTTCGGACTAGTTTTCTGCTTTCGACGAATACTTGTTTGAATGTTGTAATTACTTTAATACTTCTTACTCTTCGCTGAGAATACTTGATTGTGCATGTAATTACTTACCTAATCTGTCGATAGTCTCTTTCTTGGTAACGATTGTTGAGTTCCATTTAGTAACATCTAATGATATATAAGCCATTAGTAAAACATATACATGTATCAGTTTAAACATGCAATCATTACAAGATATTTTTGAACATGCACATGTAGTAAGTGGATAATTTTTTAATCATAAAGTTATGTCATTGATGTCCATAAAACGATTAATTACATAACTTGTATTAACTACTGTTTTCATCGCTAGATTTTTTCCCTAAAAATTAAGAAAAAAAACTTTTTAACATAGTGAATAGATAGTTTGTTTTCTTGAGTATTTACGGAAATGAATTGTAAGCATAAGACAGAATTGTTATTTCTCAACAAAAAAATTATCTAACCTCGACAAATAAATAAACAGCCATTCTCGCAGTTTGACTTCCTTAAGAAAAGTCCCCCGGGATGCCAAACAAGGACGACATACGAAAGCGAGGAAAACTGATAGCTGTACTCAGATCCGGTGACTTGGCTTTTTAGCGTTGTGGTATTCAATACATCTAGATCGGTCCAAATCTCTATTTTCTCAGGAATAGTCCTGAAATACAAGATTGAAGCATTGAATTGATGAGGTTTAACCTGAAATTTGTGATTTTCATGTTTATGATGCTTTCTTGTAAGAACTGCAAAAATCTAACTCGTCTTAGCACGTTATAAAAATTGTATGGAAAGCAGTCAATTAATGTTTTGACATTTCAAATGTGAAAAAAATGCTACTCAATGAAATATGGAGATAACGAAAAGAATTCAAGTCTACGCGTCCATGCAAACGGTGTAAAGCAGGAGCAAGGCAAACAAGGAGCTCTAAAACATCAAAGGTGGGATCGGGGGCCTTGGAGGAGTAAGCATCCCCTGCCGACCGGTCGCATCTGCCGTGTGCTTCTTGTCATGTTCGGGAAAAACGTTTAAAAAAAATAAGTGTGTAAATAATGAACTAACAATAAGTACAAAAACACAAGTGAGCATTTGATTTTATATTTGACATTAAATCTTTTTTGTTTCCATACCGGGAAGTAGACCATGTCTGTAATTTTTTTTCTTACAATTGGGATTATCAGAATTTAATTGTCTGAGTGTCAATGTTATAGGGTATAATCAAATTTGTAATGGTTCAAGACATAACCGCATGGATACGCAATATAGACATTTTTCACAACAGGTCATTTTCATTAATTATCATTCTTTGTCAAGAAATAATTGGAACCTTCAATTGTGAAATTGTCTCATTATTTCCTATAATGGAAGGCAACGCTACACACACATTCAATAAACGGTGTCATATTAAAATTCACGTTTGTGGGGGTGGCAATTTGTGGGTAAGGGTGACCTGTGAACATTGGTTCCCCATGAACAATGAAGATTTCACAGCATTGCATTACACTTGGTCCACAGCACAGTAGTTTAAGCATTAGTTTGGGTTTTGGGTTGGAATGTATGCAGATACCATTCCTATGGACGAGACCGTGTAAAGAGATTAATCTGAGAGTTCCCTTGTCACAGTAGGTGCTGGTACGATCCCTTTTCTCAAAGGTCCTAATGCAGGTCTACATCTCCATCGTCAAGTTGTGGTGTCTAGTAGGAAACATCCTAGTAGGATGTTTTGAACAACATTTGTGACATCAAAATAAATTCATAAGTACTTTAACATTTTGACATCCCTGTCTGTATTTCAGAATTATAAATTTCGGCGAGCTTTCCATAATTCACATCATGTATAATTTCAAATACATGTACATATGTACCATAAAGATCCACGAACAACGGCATCGTTTTTGCATCAACTCATGTACATCTTCCAGTAGTTTACCGTTCTTTTTACAAGTACCTTGACGTCCTTTCTCAGATATAATAATAACGTTGGCCAACGTTGATTAATGGTTGTATGGTGTGTCCTTGGTAAACAACTCTGAACCAATGTTGGACAAACTTTACCGAGTCAATCATCTCTCTAGTACCAAAATGGCAGGATTTTTAGTTGGCCCAACGTTAATCTATGTTTTCTAAGAAAGTTAAGAGTCCGATGTTGGCTCAATGCTGACCCAGTTTGCAATGCAACCTTAATAGAGTTGCTTATAATACCTTGTCACAATGCTCGCCCAAGTTTATTCTCTAAGTTGGAGAGAAGTTCATTTAAGGTACCACAGGTCTGCGTTTTGTTCGAAACTCAAAAATGCGTTTTTTTTGCGATGTACATAACCATTCCCTCTTGATTATACGGTTATGTCCATTAACTGGACACAGGTAATGCTCGGAAGAATAACCGGTCGAAAGCGGCTAATTCGGCACCGACCTAACTACTGTATACAGGGTTATTTTCGCCCCGTCTTATTTTCGCCCTTTCACACTTGCAAACAATTTTGCCCCGTTTAAAATTTGCCCAGTCATAGTTTTGTTTAAGAAATTATACTGTATTCTTTGAATTCGCCTCGTTTTAATTTCGCCCAAATGATAGTAGGGCGAAAGGGGCGAAAATAAAACGGGGGCGAAAATTTCCCTGTATACAATATAGCTATTTTTTTTTATTGGAAATCCTAATACATGTACATTTAATTTCACAATGTTAAAAAGATTCATTCCAAAGGTCAGGAAATAAGTACCTATTCCTTCCATTTGTCAAATCGTGCGTAAGATCGATGCCAATATCCATTGTTTATCGTCGATTTCGTTAGGAACATTTTTGATTTTTCATCAGAAGGAACCAGGACTATTCATTATTTTTAGTTAAGTCGTCTGCTTGGTGCATTGGTTTGATCTACAGTAATGATGTAGGGAATTGATCCATTAAACATGTATTGCGTGTTCGAACAACAGTGTTAAAAATTAGACTTGAAGACGAGTCCTTCGGATGAGAAGTATAAACCATGGTCCGGCAAAGCAGTAGGTGCTTGCACAAAAAGATCCCTTACTGCACAAGATCGAAATTAAGTGACATCATTTTATAACGTGTCCCAAATGTCCTCCTTTTTAACGTCATCAGTTTCATTCTGTTCCTGATAACATTTCTGCAAGAGTACAAGGATATACCTTTCATTTCTCTTTTGATAGCCATTTTTATAGCACACTTGTATCTTATGAGAGCGGTGAATAAACACGACCCTTTAGATATCCACATAAAAATATAACCTAAAAGGTTAAGATTGTGTGAATGAAGTGGCCACTCAGTATTTGAACAAAGCGATATAAACTTTTCTCCAATCTGTCAGAAAGCCATTAAAGCACAATATTTACGGTGTGAGGAGTGGTCAATCCTGCTGAAACCATACTTTGTTAATTTCTATTTCTCTTCTAATTAGCTCGGGGAGAAAAGTTTTTGTCAGAATAGTCAGGTATCGTTGAGATGTTACCGTTGTATAGTTTCACCATCATTTTCATTGAAAAAAGGCCTCTAATACCGATACTGCTCTGACATTGGCGCTCGGACTGATACCTTCTGGGTCTGTAGTGGCCTCTCTTTATTGAAGTCAGGCTTTGAAATTCTCCAAAAATCGACTACTTGTTAGTTTACATGTCCATCAAGTATAAAATATCCATCATGAGAGAACAATATGCCGTATATAAAGCAAAACAAACAGGACAGGAAATATCAGCATCTTTCAGATGCTGCATTATCAGAATTTATAGGGTGATAATTTTAAATCGTAGAAACTGACGAGGATTATTGATTGTACATTGTTTAACGTCCCTCTCGAGAACTTTTCAATCATATGGAGACGTGGCACACTTGCCGGTGGAGAGCTGCAAATTTTATCCTATACTCGGCACTCAGGGCCATTGAGCAGGGAGGGATCTTTTTCGTGCCAGCAACTACTGCGACACGGGACCTCGGTTTATACGGTCTCATCCGAAGGACCGGTCTCCATGTCCCACAGTGGGATTCGAATCAGCGACGTAAGGATTGACTCCTTATTTCGCGACTCTAGAGCAGACGCTCTAACCACTGCGCCACGCGGGCGACTTAAAAAACTGATGAGGAAATAATGTTTGAATCAAATTCCCTAAATACTCTTTGTGATGTTTCTTTGACGATTGCCTTTACCATTTCAATATTTTTATCTGACCGTTCAGTCCTTGGCCTTATAGGCGTGTCTTTTCTTCTGTCGCCAGTAATCCCAATACTGATCAAATTTTGACACAACCAAAAATTTAATTTTCAAGAGAGAAGCTTTTTATCAAGATACTTCATTTTCAAAATCTTTCTCACAAGTGTTGGTGACTTTTCATTTGCGTAAAACAGTTTGACCCTATCAATGTAGAGATCTCTTTTATCTTCCATTTTTAAAATACATGTACCTGACTAGGTAACTTTTGATGATGTCATCAAAGCTTTAATAAGTAATTATGGAGTCGTAGTATCTTACTTTCATATTTTAATACACTTGGTGTAAACTTTACTTTCAAATGCAGTTTTGTTTAATCATATTTTATGATTTGGCAAAAATATAGATATCCAAAAGCCAAGACATGTTTGTTGAAATATTCTGTATTTGCAGTCCTCCACTGGCAAGTAATAGCGTCTTAATATGAATGAATATTTCTCGAAGAAACGTTATTCATGGTTGATGTCCGTATTCTGGTCAGGGAAAACAAAACAGAAAATGAAAGACATGAGATCGAGGCGGAATGCCACATTCAAGACCACTTAATTTCCAATGCTTTACTTTAACTTCTGCCAGCTAATTATAATTCGCGTAGCGCATTGGGTATAGAGCGTCTACTCTTGAGTCGAGATGTACGGAGTTGATCCCTACGTCGTGGGTTCGAATCTCACTGTGGGACGTGGAGACAGGTCTTTCGGATGAGAGCTTTAAACTGAGGTCCCGTGTCGCAGTAGTTGCTGGCACGAAAAAGATCCCTTCCTGCTCAATGGTCCTGAGTGCCGAGTATAGGATAAAATTTCCAACTCTCCATCAGCAAGTGGTGGCGTCTTCATATGGGTGAAAAACTCGAGAGAGGGACGTTAAAGAACATACAATCAATCATAAAATCTGCTAGCTGATTCGGGGCACATTTGCCAAGAAACTATTAGCATTACCTAAACAAAACTATTAAGGATTCGCATTAATTATGCATATGGGATGCCCACTACCTGACCTGCCTAAGATGCTGCATTTGACCAATCTTTTCCATACATGTATAAACGAATATTATCCCAACCTAAAATCAAACTTCGGGGGCTGACAAATAGATTTTTAAGGTACTTGTCCAAGTGCAGTACAAGGTCAAAATTCATTTGCCCTGACCTGAAGAGTTGTTTACCCTACCATAAATACATGTAATGTATTTATAAATATTTCATATAAAGAGGAAGACAAATACTGCACTGAGTAGATCATGCAAGCCCCTATGACCAGCTTTAAATCTCTGGCTTACATATTAATTTTCTTTTGGATAAGTCACTTGCTCACGGGCAAGTGGTTGATAAAATTTCACTTGCCCACCCCTAAAATTCACTAGCCTCGAGCATCGGGCAGTAGGATTTGTCATCCCCTGAACTTGCAAGAAGAACGTGGTTGATGGATCTAGGAATGGGCGCTAACAGAATAGTTTCAGAAGCTGGATTATTTTTCAGATTTATAAAGTTCTAGGTTTTCGTAGTAATCAAGACAAAGCGACTTGATCCTACTTGGCATAATTTTCCGGTATCACATAGTTTGAGGAAATTTTGAGATTATCTCTGCAAATATTATTCTGTAATATGTAAACGTCACAGGAGTGGACTATTAGTACTCTCTCCCGCTCCCTCTCTCTTACCCTACCTGTCTAATTTTTTATCAATGCTGTCGAAATCCTTTAAGTTCTGAAAAAACAGTAAGCGATAGTCGGGTTGTTTGCTGCAAATTAACGCTGCCAATGTTCTGTTATGTGTTTCTCCAACGATTTCTGAAAATGTATAAAAATATTTTTTTAAAATTCCAGCAGCAATTAATTCAAAGGTCCACTAAAAACAATACATATTTCATCAGAACGAAAATGAACCATCAAAAACATCAGAGATAGGATCAGGTTCCTTTGAGAATGAAGCATCTTCTTTTGAGGTCACACTCTGAGTGTCGGGCAAACGGAAAAATTCGGACAGTTCAATGCAAAAATAATGACCTAGCAATTAGTATGTAAAAGTAAGTAAACAACGGACTGTATATTCGCGATAAAGAAGTCTTTCAAATCAGCAAATAAGAAAAGAATACTGTTTATTTATCTTTTTTTTGTTTAAATTTATTTCATAAAAATAGTATGTTCATGTTTCTAATTATTCGTTTTATGTAATATATTTATTGGTCAATTGCCGGAACATGTTTGATTAGTATCATTTTAAAGAGGCAAGATACGCACAGATAAGTTGATGTTACAGGGATTTCAACAATATCGATTAAGTAAGCTCTAAAAGTGCACGCTAAAGAGCTCCACTTATAAGGTAGTTTTATGCAGATAGAGTGATCTGCCCTTAGAAGTATGATTAAAAAATGTTATTTACAATTAATTACACGATTTGTAATAGATTCTAATTTTAATTTTTAGTATTATATGAAACCAAGAATAAGTTATTGAATTCGTTATCTTCATTACTTTTCCCATTTTAAATTACATCAGGGATTTCTGTTCATAAATAATCCATTGTCTGTGAACATTTTTCCTGCGGAAAGAAAGGCAAGTATTGTATGTTATTAATGATTATCATTATTATCAATATGCACTCCTTTATATAATATATTTTCTCAAAGTCCAAAAAGCACTTTCTGCAAGTGTTTGGAGCTTCCTTGATGTCAGCATTTTGTTAATTCTAAGCTCGTTATAATTACTTCATTAGCAAATAAAACCTGTCATTGGGTCGTAATTTGGTTGATTTGTTTCATTTCAATTGTTAGGACTTTTTACACATAATTTGACAACGCAATGTTCAGTCTACTTGTTCAATTTAAATAGGGCTCACGGAGGATGTGAGCGGTCCATAGGGATGGTTTCTCCTCCTAGCCATCCGATCCAAACCCTGGATTTCCCGGGGGTCCGTGTTTATGCCCTTTTTATAGATTTGCATTGTTTTTTGTTTTCAGTTTTAGATCAATCACTGTTCCTTATCTTCACCGTATTACATAAATATGGAACTCCCTTTTTTGAAAAAAAAGGCATCCGCACAAAAAGTTTTTTACTTCATTACAACAGAAACGTTGAAGCAACGATCGTCAGAAGAAGATTCAGCTTTTAAAAAAATCATCGTGTTGTATTTACTTGACTAGGTAAATAATTTGAAATTTAAAATTGCAAAGAACTTCATCAGTATTCCATGTTACATGTTATCGTACTAAAGCATGTACTTACCAAATTCTCGTTGCGAATGAAAGCCATCTGCTATAGCTGCCAAAACTACTATTTCGGCTAGAAATAACTCCGGGATGTTCATCTGGATAGATCAAGCTCCTTCATTACAGTGCTGCATCTTTTTAATGATGTGTGCACTATATACTTTTATTTCAAAGCACTCCAGATTTGTGCAATAAACTCTCTCATGCATTGATCTTCTTATTTTAACAACAATTTCGATAGAAGTCTCAAAAGAATTATGATCAGGTAATACTTTTTCCAATATCTTTTAATGTTGTCTGGATTGTATTAATAATTAGTTCCGGTCTTCGATTATCACGTATATGTTTTCAATATTTCTCATTAACTTTAAGTTCTACGATTTCATATCGCTGGGGACAGGTCTATATTTCAAATTTAGCTTTATTTGTCAAATGATAAAATACTTCCCTTGTTGTTTTAAACAGGATATTTATGAACGTTGTGAAACAAACTTCAAGCGTGACTCTAACACCGTCTCTTTTTGGCCAATTTAGTGTATTTTGAATTTCACCCTTGCATCTCAGACTATGATAATCTCACTGTGGGACGTGGAGACCGATCCTTCGGATGAGACCGTATAAACCGAGGCCCTGTGCCGCAGTGGGTGCTGGCACGAAAAGGATCCCTCCCTGCTCGATGGCCCCGAGTGTCGAGCATAGGACAAAATTTGCAGCCCTCCACCGGCAAGTGGTGGCGTCTCCATATGAGGAAAAATTCTTGAGAAGGACGTTAAACAACATGCAATTAATCAATCATACCATGACACCTAATCTAACTCTTAGCAGAAAAATAAAAATCAGGCCTTGTTGATTTTAATCTCATCCATAAATGGTCACTGGTAACTGTAGCTTGATTCCCATGCTGTACAAACCAATGCTACAAAAGTTCCTGGAAACTTGAAGCCACCTTCTAGGGTAAAAACTAAGCACCTGCTCCATTGTCTTCAATATTTTCAACAAGGTGTAATATACAAAAGAGAAGCCGTGACTCTTGCACATCTTGTTGGTAAACCCATGCCTTGTATTTCCCTGTCAAAAAATATTGACTATGTGCCCATACCATTCTCCTATCGCTTGTTGCCTTCACTGACGTACTCCTTGTCATACAGAGTATATTCAAAGTATTTTTTCTAAAAGGCACTTGACTGCCCCCCCCCCCCAAATGTTTCAGAATAATTTTACATTCTTCAATACATGTCTCTTTTGTATTGATCTTCACCGAAGCCGAAATTATAAATGATAGTTTTCTTTAGTTTCTATTTCGATTCGATAACGGCCTTAAAATTGGTTGTTCCCATATTCCTTATAAATGCTCTGACAGGGGGCTTCTACTCTCATCCGTACGCCTGAATTTCTAAGCATCGCTACTTCAATAACACATATCCGCCAAGAACAAGATTTCTGAAACTGTACAGCCTATTTCTATATACCTTCAGGTATTGATACCTTTATAGCAGCAGACTGTAAAAGTTTCTCATAAGCATCTTCTTGACCTGATTTGTTATATGGTATCGCTGGAGTGCACGTTCGACGAAATGATGAAGCTTGCAATTAAACATTGGTTAGATCCAAACACATCACTGTAAGTTCTCTTTCATCCTCCCTGATAAATTTTGCTTGGACACTGGTATATACAATTGCAGAATGCCTGTAACTCCTCCATTCTGTAAACTCTATATATCTATTGGACAACGTAATTCATAAGTTAAAAGGCTATACATTTAAGGATACTTGAAGAGACGAGGATTTTGGCGATTGTAATTAAGAAGTTAAAGTAATTAATCAGACAAACCAAACATCTGTTTGATGAAACAGATCCAAAGATGTCAGAATCTAAAGATTTCATGATGAAGGCTATAAAGCATTGTCACAAAGACCCAATGGAATATCATAGAAAGCATTCATGAACTGTTAAGATTGACAAATAAACACGTAAGAATCGGATGGAAAAGGGAACAATAAGCGATTCTTGACACGCACCAACCCAAGGACTGTTTCATTGCAAAGATGGAATTTCGAAGACACTCAAAGTTTTGTATCGTCATACTACATTTTTACATTAACGGAAGGTTTTTTACAAAGATGATGAAAACATTTATGATCCTCTGCTTTTTAAATTGTTAAAGATTGGAATATATTGGCTGTAAGGTGTGCTCATGTCTTTACTCGATCGTTGCTTATCTTTTTCTTTTTTCATCTTTCTGTCCTGAGTGGTCCTTCTCAAGAATTTCCATTATTTCTCTGAGTTTTTCATCATCTGGCCCGAGCAGATCCTGCTTCCTTAATGATGTCTCATTTTTAGCATCAAGATGCTCGATCTCTATCCTCATTCTGTCATGTATACGCTCACTTCGCTCGTGTTGCCTAATTTTTATTCCAAATATGCCCAGACCTACATTGTATACAGTCCTCTCTATACCAGGTAATCTTGTCGTTTTTATGCCCCCGTACGTGAACAAAGTTTCTAGGGTACATGTATATAGATTTTGTCCGGCCCGTCCATTTGTCTGTCTGTTTGACAGCAAAAACTTTAACCTTACCCATGACTTTTGATTGGGTGGGGCTTTGGATTTCATATCTCACAGGTGTATTTCTTGTGACAAGACCTTTCTTTGGGTACCACCAAATTTGACCTCTTGACCTTTACCTTGGAGTTTGACCTACTTTTACAAAAAAATACCACACTTTTACTTTGGCCATAACTTTTAAACGGTGGATGCTTGGACTTTCATACTTCTCATATGTATTTTTTGTGACAAGACCTTTCATTGCCTTTCAACAACTTTGACCCTTTGATCTTGGTAGATTGAACTACTTTTAAAAAAACTTTAACCTTGGCGATAACTTTTTAACGGTAAGGTCTTCTCAAATGTAATCCTTGTGACAAGACCTTTCCTAGGATACCAACAACTTTGACCCTTTGACCTTGACCTAGGAAATAGAGCTACATTTAAAAACTTTTACCCTAGCCATAACTTATAAACGGTTACAGCTATGGCTTTCATACTTTAAATACATGTACATGTATGTGGTCCATGTGACAATACCTTTCTTTAGAAACCAACTACGTTGGCCCTTTGACTTTGACCGAAGCGTTTGACCTACGTTTAAAAACTTTAACCTTGGTCAAAACTTTGTTTCTGGCATGCCAATGACAGTGAATGATGGGTTGAAAATGGTATCGTCTTTAAACAACTTTCCAACTTCGCCCTCTTGTAACTATGTGTCCACTTAATCTCGATCTTAGCTTTCGTAACTGGTTCTGACTGCTACAATTTGGGCTAGCTGAGCTTGCTGTTCTTCTATAGTGTTGTAGACTCTCTTTGGCTCTCTCATTTTTGTCTGGCACGTGACTTGGTTTAACTATAAGTCATGTATACCTCCCCTTCGTCTTACCAGATCGTCAAGTCGTTGGTTCAGTCGCTGAATATGCGAGCTTCAATCTTTCCAATGTTTATCTTCAGCCCAAATTTCAAGTTCACTTTAAGTCTTCTAATAGTCAGTCTGATGTTCTATCCTTTAACGAGGCCCGATCTAGTTGATCTGCGCATACGTTTTAACGCAGCGTCGACTCAGGCACGTCACAGTACCCTGGACTGCCGTCACAATTGAACATAATAACGTCACAATTAAAATGACGTCAATTTGCGCTAAAATGTTTCGCTGATCTTGCTTACATGGTTGCTCTATAGACTATGCATTGAAATCTGGCATTTCTATTATTTTTTTAAATGTTTAAATTAATAAACAACTTTGGAACCTAATTTATTTTGAGGGATCAATTTTTTGGTACAGATTCATTAATTTTATCCCGTTTTATTTCAATTTGTGAGTTTAAAAAAACAAACAAACACTTTAACTAAAAGTAAACGATTTTATTCTTTCTATTTGAACATGTTGAAGTGTTTATACACACTCTTTTTATTGCGGTTTGAAATATGCATGGATTGTCTTCAGTTTTAAAAAATAAAATAAATCTATAAATCATTTAAATTGAACCCCCGAAATATTTTATTTTTCTATATATTACATGATATTAGTAAAAATCGCAATTTTGTCGCCTTTACCCCCCCTCCTCCCTCTACCCCTTTTCTCCACGTTAAACAACGTCGCGTGTTAAGAGAAAAATAAAGCATGGCGAGAAAATTATTTCATAATGTAAGAATTCTTTATTTTTTTAGAAATTAATACAGTATTGCAATCGTTTGTTGGTGTTATGTAAACCCATTGCGACCTATAAAATACGTAGTTGGATAGAATAAATCCAAATTTTGTGTTTTGACATGCCCTCTTTTCACTGCAATAAAGGCTACCTCCAATTTTCTTTTCGTTTTTTATAAGAAGAATGAAAATTGCATGATATATGTGAAAAACAAAGAATTTCATAATGTATTTTTTTTTATTTATAAATTTCTTTGTTTATTGAAGAGTTTTAGTATGTAATTGTGTATAAAAACACGACAAGAGGTCCATATCTTGACAGTGCCCCCATTTCACTACAATAAAGGCAAGGTAACAAAATTTCATTCTATTTGCTCTTAGCATAATACATACAAATTTATTTCCTAAAATCAAAATTTTTTATCATTCCATTTTCGTAATATCCAACTAGATTGGGCCTCGTTAAATCATCCAGAACACATTCATCCTTGCGCGACCCCATGGGTATCTATCTGTGTAACAATCTATATATATAGTAATAGTAAAGGTTCTCCATTCATAAGCACATAGAATTAATTAATATGTGCTTCGGTCTAAACTTCTACACCTTAAACTGACTTAAAAAATCATCCACGATAATTGTCATGCGGCTCTATTCACAGCTAGTCTTCTTCTACACCTGACTGCGTCTACCTTTACGTCCAAACACCGGTTCCATGTGCATAATCAGGTACACCCGTTCATGTATGTCTTCCATCCTTCGAATTCGAAGATCATTTCGTTCACCTTAGCCTCGAGAGGTGCACTGTGCCAACTGGGGGTGGGGTGGGGTGCGGGTGGTGGTTGATTATTTTAAAATCAATAAATATATTTATTCCTGTAACTGATATTCTTTAATAGAGAACTGTGGTCCGTTTTACACAAGAACTTGCAATTAAAGCCAAAAACTTAGGTTGATTGTAAAATCTTGTAACATTAATGTTTCCGTTGCTACAAAAAATGTTCCTATAAATCCTTGTTTAAAGAGTCTTAAATCCAAAATTACATTGATTTCAAATGGTCATATGCGTAAATTCAGCTTCTTTTGTAAAAGGGGGTCCAGATAAATGAAGTAAGTTCTGCAAGTGATTCTGATAAATTTTCCGACTAGCCTATAGAGCACTGTCAGTGGTTGAAAAATGATTTGTAGGTAAAAATATCAAAATGCATTTTTTTCTTTTAAAAAAATAAAAGACAGGAAAATGAAAAGAGAGAAAGACTTTTGAATGTGGTTAAGGATCTCTGATTAAATTTACTACAAATGGGATGTATATATGCACTACAATTGTACGAATAAGACGAGGTATGGATTAACAAGAACTTTTGTAAAATGGCGCCAATATTCAATGGCAGTAATTTGTAAATACATGTATCACCCGATGATAACCCAACAAAAGTAAGAATCTGTCAAAAGCTCAGCTCATCTAACAAGAAAATGAACTGATGATGATGGAATTTATGAAGAAGATGTAAATATACTACATGCGCTACACGAACAGTACAAACTGAAAGTAGAATCAAGACCGAAACTCTTGCCAGTCTTTGTGACGTTCACCTGTCTGATTTACCAGCCATTTTCACTTGTATCTGTTTGACAAAAATGTAACTGGCAGAAGTAATCAGGTAATGAGATAGTTTGGGTTTTTCACTATCTAGTTATATGTAGCCATACATCGGAAATCCGAATATGTCCCTGCAGGGAAATTTAAAAAAGCTTGACAATTAGGCCTATAACGTAATTGAATCAACGTTATACATGATATAAATACTTTCAATTAATGCTGTATTTTAATACCAGGACAAAATAATGCCTATTTTGCTCAATAGCATGATGACAAAGATCAATAACTCCTGCAATATTGTCTTATTTAATTATTTCATACCCCCCCCCCCCCCCCCCTGAAAATTATATGTTTTATCTCTATGATTACCAATGTAATAATACAGGGTGTCCCATAATATATGATACCATTTCATGATTATATAAAATAAAATGTAATGAATATAGAATTACGACTACTGCTCCATAAACATTGTATATACTGTCCAATTTTATTCACACAATTTGATGGACATTGAATGGCACACGAAATAATGAGTTCATTTTGAAAAATGCTATCGTTTTGAAATTATGTCCCCGAAATGACGTCCAATCTGGGTAATGATCATGTCTAGGCATTGCACAAAATTTTATAACCTAGGATAATAGCGCATTTTCTCTTTAGTTGTAACCTGGATTTCCATTGGAAATATGCCTTTTTAGATAAATTAGAGATTCAGATTTAGGTTTAGTTACAATATCTTAAGACTGGATTTGATAATTAGTTTTGAACTGAGGGTATACCTAGCTTGTTTGATACATCCATTTTGCTTGAAATGCAATTTTTAGCAATTTTTGATGTAATTATGTGGCCACATTATTCCAATTATGTGAAAAGTTTTAACTAAAATTATGTGTTGCTAAAAATTGTATTTATTCAAATATTTAATGAGACAAATTTCAAAGAAATTGGTCAAGACCTCTCTTTCTGACAATAATTTAAAATGATATCATATATAATTATGGGACACCCTGTACAATTAAATCACTTTTTATTGGCAATTAACTAACATAACAACTTCTCAATATCAAACAAAATGGTAAAGAGATGTGTAGCAAATTGTATACACTGCATGTACATGTACTATCATTCCAATACTGAATAAAAACTGACAAAAAGGAATTTTGAACCAGTCTTGTCAATGGTACTGTTCATGCATAACAAAAAAAAAATAAATTAAATTACTGACAATCAAACATTACAGTGAATATTTTGTGGAACTTGGTACTGTCATAATTTTTTAAAAATTTTATTATTCAATTTGACCAAAAAAACCACATGTGGCGCAAGTCATACATACAGTAAACATATATAAAAGATATAGTCACATAGATTTTCTTATATTACATGCATCACATATGAAGTTGCAAATATTTCTTGTAGATTTAACATCTGCTGGATTAAGAATTTCATAAGGTTTACATGTATTATTAAAAAGCGTACAAAATTCACTTCTTAGTTGTTTATAAAGAGGACATACAAATAAAAAATGATATTCGTCTTCAAGAACATTTTGACAATTAATACAATATCTTTCATCTCTTGGTATAATTGGGTTGCAATATCTGCCAACCTCTGTCTGTAATTTACGGGCACTTATTCTTAATCAAGTCAAAAAAGAACGAAGATTCTTAGAAATGGAAAAATTTTAGTATATGGTTGAATTTCAAGCTTGTTTATATTTACGCAGAAGTGAAATCGCATATTGTCATGGGTGGTTTAGAATTTTTTGTAAAGAAAAGGTAATTCATATTAATTTTCTGAAGATATTTGAATATTTTGTATTAAGAATCATGCAATTGTAATGGTTCATGTAATCTAGCTGTAGAATTTTGTATTTGTTTGTGTATAAGTAACATGTATTATAATAGGTTTAACCTTTTTTTATTAATCATGTTGAATCATTTGTATGTAATGTGATATCGTTCATATATTTTGTCAATACATGTAATAATATTTATAGCCACTGAACTTACAGCAAACTTTAATTGAAAGTGTGATATTATGAGCTTTTAATAGTTCTGAGCCTATTTACTGTGAGGTAAACAACCTCTTTCCATAACCTCACTGTTTTAAAGAAGAAATTAAAAACAACAGTACTTTCCTTCTTGTACAAATTTCAAATAGATATTTGGTTTCTATAGATTAAACATGTACCTATATACCAGTATTTTAGGCATGTTAGTACCACATTAAATACATAAAATGTATTCTAGTAATACTTCTTTGCAACTATCCAGCAAAATTATATATTTACTGCTCCTGTCAACAAATTTATAAATGTGCAGAATATAGCCAGGCAGATTGTAATTTTGAATTGGGCAGAGAAAGGTACATGTGTATGTTTTTTTTTTCTTCTGCATGTATGATGCATCCAATCAAATGATCAACTAAATTTTTTATTGTCCAATATGTGTCCCTTTTGTATGGTTGAGTGAATTATAGTTGACAAGTACAGGTTTATGTGTAGTAGTAATTTGTTTTGTATTGATCAAATATTTTTCCAACAGGTAAGGTATACCTTTAAACTTTTCACTCAGGTGGTTATAGGTATAATGTATATTCTCAGGTGAAATTTGACCAGGGCTCACTCAGGTGTAGATCTATATGCTAAGCTTTTAAAAGAAGAAAAAACAAATAGAAATAGCTCTAAAAATGTATGTGAATTAAAGTAATTGTTCATTGTTGATTCATGGTTGATTGAAATGTATATGAAATAAGTTTTTTGATGGTATGGATATCTACTGTTAATAGTAGAGTTAATATTCTCTGCTGAAAGGTGGGTTTTATATATCTTTATTAATCAAATTGAGGTAGCTAGAGTACATTTAATATAATGTATTTCTAGATTTATATCTTTTGTTATGGACTGCATCCAAGCAAACAATTCTTGATTTAATTTATTTTCCAATTTTGATAGAATACACTCTTAACTTAAAAGGGAGCCTTTGATTAAAATCTTTGAAACTCGTGTAAATAATGGTATATTTAAAACTAACAAATTACATTGGTTTCTTGCCTATAGAATATATTTTCTTAATATGAGTTTGATGAATATACAGTCATTTGAATTTTGCTTATGTTAACAAATTATATTGGACACTTGCCCATAGAATACATTTTCTTACGAGTTTGATAAATATATTTGAATTTTATTTATATTGATGTGTTTTATTCTCCCTCAGGTCTAGTCAGCCATCATTTTATTTGTAACCTGTACGTACAAAAGGGCCGCCACAAAGAACAGCTGCCGCGGCACTTGCGTCCGATCGTACGGGGAGGATCCTAGGAGTTTGTGCGTCAGGGATTCTGATTCAGGTAATTCACTTTGTTGATGGGCCCCAGCTCTTTGAAGCCCAGCTTGCATATGTTGTGTATCGATGTATGGACAACAATAAACCTAGGCTTTGTATTGAGGTTGGTGACATTAATAGCTTCTTGGCTTGGTATAAGGTAACCTTGTGTTGCATATATGTTGAATATATGTAGAAGGCAATAGGAACAAATATTGACAACAGGTATATATATATGGATGAACATAGGAATAAATTTCTGATTGTGGCTTATAAGTTGTTATGTGCTTTTGATTGTTAGAAAAAGTTAATCTTCTAGATTTCTGCTCACTAGCTGTCTTTTAATATGTAAGTGTATGATTTAGTTTGCATAATTTTTGCAACTTTTAGAGCATGTATGGTAGATTAAGAATTTAATTGCAGATAAAATATCAAAATGAATACTCATGATAATCTTTTATGAGAATAATTTGTTTTTTGATTATTTGATTGTGGGATTCATTCAGATATATTTTAATCAAATTAATGTATCTAATACTTTTGATAGAAACTCATTGTAAAAGTGCATCTTGTTTGTTTGTACGTCATCACGGTACATGTATTTCCTCATAGCTCAGTGCACATATGATATAAATGCAGTCATAAACTATTGATTCAGTACATGTTCTCTCTTAGTATTTCTTTCAATTTAAGATATTTGAGATAAAAATGCTAGTCACAAAAAAATAATAATGGAAATTCAATGAAAACTTTACTGCAGGCTGTTATAAAATTACAGCAAACAAACTGGTATGAATCACATTTAAATACACAGAATGTTTGGTAAAATCTTGATTGATTTATGCTGAAGGGTTTTTGAAAAAAAAAGTGGGAACAGCTGTATCAAATTAATCAATAGAACTTTATAGTAGAGCGAGACAATATCCCGCTAAATTGTTATAATAAGGTGACATATGTCTCTTGTAGACTGAAATCCTAGAGTGAGAGCCGTCAACAAATGGCAGAGTTTTTAGAGAGATCCCTTCAGATGTAGCTTCATAGATTCAGGTAAGCATATCTTATTTTATGGGTACTGTGTATTATGGTACTAACTTGTTTCAAGTATTTGTTAATATAACCTTTTTTTCTTTTCTTTCTCAAGTACCATAAGATTTGGTGCTGAGCGATGCAACTCTCCTGACCAGTCCTTTTCCCCCTCAGCTACTAGTTGTAGCTCATTTCCATTATTTCCTGTTTTTCTAAAATTATAAAAATAATCTTGAGGAATGATGCACAGTGTGTCCTAAAATTCCATATGTGGCTTTTCATTGACAGGGGCACATCTAAAAATTTTAGATCCCCTGTCTATTTTCATGTAGAGCAGGAAGTTTCAGTTATTTTTGATAGGCAGGCATAAGAATGGATAAAGTTTAGAAATTGATAACTTTTATTTTCAGCCCCTTAGTTATAGACATGTAAAGATCAAATCTTTGTGAATACCAAGGGCAAAAGAGCTAGGATTTATATATCAATGACTATAGGACAGTACTCTTCATTTGTCAGTGGTTTTATGACTTGGACACAATGGAAAAGACCTTTCTTTAGTGGCTATGTCATTGCAACCTTACATAACCTATCACTATAATGTTACATAGTTCTAGAGAAAGGAGACTCAAATAAAACACAGATAATATAGACCAGGTAAGTACTAGGTGAAAAATGTTTAAAAAAAGAATAATTTTATGTAGATGAAGTCTGTAGGGCCAAAGGAAGATATTGGTCATTGATCAAAAGTATGTAATTTGGTGTTAATACCAATTTATTGGAGTAAAATTTGTAATGTACCATGTGGTATTTATGATAGTTATAAATATTTCCTTTCAAAATGAATTGATGTACATCATTACATGTGTTTATCAAGCATTTTGTCTTCCTTCCCTATGCAGCATAAATGTTACAAATTTCTCCAGTTTTAGATTTGCATATATGAACTGCTGAAATAAAATGCCTATATATTCTACATAGAAGCATTATGTATGTGCACTGAGATTGACAAATTATACCTTTTGAGGACTTCGTTTATGCAAGTTTAACATAAATTCAAATGTTAAATGTGTACCTATGTATATGCTTGTGGGAGTTTGGTCTATAGCTACAGGTAAGACTGAGTACATAAATTACTGATTAAAATCAGCAGGGGTTTATGTGATATACCTTGATAAACTTTGATAACTTATGTAATGTAAACTACTGTTTTAGATAAAGATATACTCACATACACTATCATTTTCTGTTAAAAAAGTCTTAGTTCATTTTGTATGGCCATGTTTTAGATTTTTTTTATTCTTGCTCTTATAAGAAGAAAAAGGGGGTGGGGATGGGACTTAAATACTTAGTGAAAGTTTTGAGCTTTTCTGAGTTTGGGAAGTCAGCATGGTTAGGTGAGGTATATTTTGTAGTTATGGTCATACATGCATATGAAATATCAGCATTGTACAAAACAGCTGATGAATAATGTCATAACATTATAATGTCCAATGTGCAAGAAATGAAGCAATCAGGGATTATTATTTTTTCTTCTTTATAAATATATGATAGTTTATTTGACAAATGCTAGTTCATGTCCATGAAACTGTTCACACTCTGCTTTAGTTTTATAATTGCTTAATATAAAAAAACTATTCTTTAAACAATGTTTATTCATGAAATTTGATTGGATTGGGCAACAGGCTATGTCTATGACAATCCTCTCGGTACATATAAACTTTTCATGGATGTTGTATGTTCCTGTACGATTTACAGTTTAGGAACTTGTAATATTTAATGTGGAAGTCTCCACCCTCTTTGTTTTGAGTCTTGCTGACATTATTGGAATGTCAACATGGGTCTAAAGGACTAATGTATGTAAGGAATGTACCAGTACTGAGAATTCTGGATAATTTGATTTTTCTCTAATCTCAGGTGTTTTCTGAGAATTCATGGATTTCTTTGAATCATAAAATGTAAGATAGATTTGTTTTTGGATTCTTTTTCTCTGAATTAATTACTTTAACTAAAATGGATTGTAAGATAACCCTTTTTAGATTATAATCAATCATTTTGATTGGACATCATGTAGCTATATATGTGTGCAAGGCTATATAGGAACTTTTGAAAAGTTCATTATCAAACCATTGCGAACCGTATAAACTTATTGCAGGTGAGGCACAGAATAAACTTGTTAGAAAAGACTTTGACTACTGCAGTCATGAAACAAATCTCTAACTAACACTTGAGAGCTACCATTGCACAGTGGTTAATTTTAAATTTTGATTCGATTCCTTTTCAATTGCAATCATGAAATAAATTTTATATATGTACTCCATTTTGAGCAACAATTGCACAGTGGTTAAACCAAACTGCCTCCTTTTTCAATTGCAGTCATGAAATAAGTACATGTACCACATTTTTAGGTACCATTGCACAATGATAAAATTAATCTTTCTCCCTTTCCAAGAGCAGTCAATGACGGCAGGAAATACAGATGCATTTGTTATCAGTTTGAGTTTTTGGGAGGAAGTAAAAATTCAGTTTCTCACAGATTGATTCTTTTAAAAATCGATATATTTTTATATATACCTATGGTGATATCCAATCGTTCAAACCCTTCTCAATGACATAATAAGAGTGGGGGAGACTATCATAAAACTGATAACCCACTTCAATGTAGCCTTGATTCGCAATCACAATAGGTATGCTGCCTTGTTCTCAAGTTTAAGAAGGACTGTTTCACCTTTCTTGGAAACTCTGAAGTGCATTTGTGAGCAGGTGCATTGAAATTGGAGGAGGAATATTTTGTAGGTTTTTAATGTGTACAGGTAAGTTTAAAGTAAAACTCATCAAAGTAACAAAATAAATGGGTTTTTGAAATTTTTTCATGATTTTTGTAATGTCTTAATTTTATTAAGCTTAGTTGTTTTGATGTGACAATATACATTCATTTTACTTTTTGTGTGATGGATATGTTTATTGATTTTTTTGTTGAAAATGAAATAAAATACATGTTTTGTAACATTGAATTGATTTTAATAGAATATATCAATAATTCACGTACCAACTACCTCTGAAATTGAGTTATTTGATTAATACATCAAGTTAACATATTTTTTACCTATATAACTATTGTTTAATTGTTATTTATTTTTTCTTCATTTTAAAGTGAAGGGATGTTTTGAAAACTGAAAATAGTGTGATTTTTGTAAATGGTTTATCGACATGATCAAATATCTTTATTCTATATGTATAAATCAGTGGTTAAAAGTTCATTAATTAGTAATGTTATAACATTCCTTGCTGTGTCAACATGTAAAATTATATTTGAATTGATAGTACATGTAATCCTGATTTGCTGCACTTGAGACAGAACATAAGGTTGTAAGAATTTAGACAAGGCAAAGATAGGTCTTCACATGCTTACCTTTACTGAATTATATCATTGCATGGTGATCTTTTTATCTTGTATGATATCTTAGCAGTTCATGATAAAAATCAAATGTAAGATCCCCCCCCCCTCCATGATCTGCAAATTTTCATGCTGAAATCCTGGCAAATGTCAAATCATACAAACAAAAAATATTTGGCTGAAAGGTATACCCTGTACATGTATAGTCAACCAGGATTTAGCAAACAAGCTTATAATGAAATGATGATTACAGCCAAATGATTTTCACTCTCTTTTTAATTAGCTAAAAAATAAATGTGGATTTAATGGATACATTAAATTACGGGTACTTCTAAAGACTTTGTTTTTTAAAGTGTGTTGATCAAACTATAGCTCAAAAATCATCTCTACTTGTAGCAGTTACTACATGTATTAATTTTTGAAAGTTAAAACTTGTCTGCAGGCTAGAAAATGTTTGATTTTAACAGTCTAATCAATATTAGAGGTTAAAAAAAATTTCATATTTAATTTCATCAGCAATGCAACTATCACTTAGATCTTAGAACTTGAAAAAGAAAATTGAGTTACCCCCCTTTTCACCTTATTTATATATATTGAATAGGCCAAGTTTCTTCTAACAATTACATAAAAAAGCAAGTGAATATGTAATATCTGAATACAAAAAGGTTCAATAAATTAAGAGAAATGTCTGTCAATATTATCATGATTAAACTCTATGTTGACCACCCCCCCCCCCCCCAAAAAAAAAAAAAAAAAACTTGGCCAGGCCTTACAATATTTCCTTCATCCCTCTACAATGACTGTGGATCCAAAAAAAATGTTTTGCACACTTCCATGTGTCATTAGCCAATCTGTCCCATAACAGTTGCAGAAGTGAAAACCATTTTGCACAAAAATGATACAAAATATCCTCCCTAACGTTCTGTAAAGATGTGTAATAATTAAACCTTCATTTTCTCTTGCAGAAGTCTTTTGATCATGCATCAGAGTGTAGGAGGTGACCCCTCCGTTCAGGAAGACATGGAGTTCCTGGCCAAACAGAAAGCTCATGAGCTGTTCACAGTGTGTGACATTGAGGAGAAGGGCTTCATCACCAAGCGTGACATGCAGAGGTTGCAGACCGAGTTGAACCTTGACCCAGAGCAGCTAGAGGCCGTGTTTGATTCTCTGGATGATGATAAAAATGGATATTTAACGCTAGAGGAGTTCACATCAGGCTTTGGTAAGTTGTTTGATCTTTTTATACTTAGTATTATAATCAGGATATAACAAACTTGGGCCACTATTACCCTATAAGGGAAAATCATGCATTCATGGAATTAAAATTGTGGAGGATAAAACTGTTTTGTAGTTGAGTTTTCATATGTTGGGGATATTTTTTTTTCACTTGTGCAAGGTTCAATATTAAGTGTAAATCTAAATAAGATCACATCTCCTTGTAAAATAATGATCCCATACCTAACTATACAATGTTGACTTTTCTATTTTTATGGTTTTCGAATTTTTAGGAAAAATCTGTCATTAGTAATAGTGTTAAAGGCAGAGACATATATTGTGTGTGAGGTAATTAAGAGATTAAGAGATGAAAATTGAAAACATTAATTTTAAAAACGAATAGGTCAACTTTAAAAGGATTTTCATTTTAGTCTGCATCAAGATATTTTCATTACTCTTAATTGCTTTACCTTGACAAAGAATATATTTGTAAGTAATGTTTTTCATGAAAGAATTAAAGAAAATAAAAAGCTTTAATTTGCCATATTTTTAAATATTTTTCTTGGGGAAAATATCACATATATTTTTAAAAGTTAATTTTTTAAAACACATATCAATGCATATGTTTACTTTAATTACAGTATTTCACTGTTGAAAATGTAATAAAGATATCTATATATTTTTACTTTTAAAAAATATATTGATTTATTCTAGATCAGGTCTATATGTCCTAAAGCATGTCTTATCTTTAAAAATAAAAAATGTTCAGTTTTAAGCAAAAAAAGAGTTATCTTTCTTTGAAAAACAATGGCTAATGTGTCAAATATGTATGAAACAGGAAGTTATCTGGGAATATCTGCTCCCGTTAACGACAATGACAGCCTGAATCTGAGTGATCATTACGAAGAAGAAATGGGGGACAAGGCAGAAGAGGAGGAAAAACAGTTCTGTAACATGATGGAGAGCATAGGAGCAGACAAAGTCATCGATGAGTAAGTATATATATAGCAACGTGAATGTATGTGGTGAAATGTAAAACAGTAATTAAAGGACCTACAGTTATGGCACGTTTGTGACTTGACTCACTGTCAAAAACATAACACAGCAGATCTGTAAACTGAATGAGTATGGTCCATGTTTTAGGCATGCATATATTCTTTCAAGATTATTAAAAGAGACTTGATTCAGAAAACTTTAAATCATGATTATAAGGTTGCAACAATTAGGGTTAGATACAGTGTATATAAATTTGTCAATTGAATTATAAAGCAAGCATGCTTTATTTTATGTTGTAGTCAGGCCACAGTGAAGACTCTGTGGATGAAGATTCGACATGAAGAACCTGAGTTGATGTCTAACTTTGAGGACTTCCTGTACAAGGTGTCCAATGACATCCAGAGAGCCAGGGGGGACTTTGAGTCACTGGAGAACGCTCTCAAAAGGTAAATATACAGACTGCTGCTGATTTATTGGAGAGATTTTTATTGAGCATTTTAAATACAGTGTTAATCAACTTTTATTCACCAACAGCAGTGTGTGACATATGGTACCTTCTCCTATGTTGTGTAAATAATTTTAATGTCAAAGCATAAGAGAGAGAGGGGGTGAGAGAGAGAACACATTGTGTTCTAGGAAAAACAATAAAATATTTTAAAGTAATTTGTGCCTATACATTTACATAGGAAAATTAATTTTCAAAACATATTGACTGACATTTGTTATGGATTATTTTACTTATTGTCAAATTATTTAATTGACTTTCAGCATGATTAGTGATGAAGGGAGAAAGGAAGCATTCATGCAATATACTGTTACATGATGTGTCTATATGACACAAAATATGGTACATGCGTATGTTTATGGACATAGTTTAAATTACCTCATTGGAAAATACTGAAATATTGTGATATTTAGGGCCCCGCAAGGATTTGCGGGTGCCCTATAGTAATCACTCTGTCCGTCCGTCTGTCTGTCTAAATGTCTGTCCGTCTGTCACTCTTCCGTCCACAAATTTTCTGTTTTTTTCTAATAACTTTTTTTATGGTTGCCCAATCAAGTTCAAATTTGGTATGGTAGTTCAGTAGGCAGAAATACGTATTTTGATGCTAAGTTTGGTTCTCTATGTCTTCTGGTTTGGAGCTGGGGTGGTGGGGTAGATTCCTTAACTATGCATAAGAATGAATGGGCAACTTTTTTATGGTTGCCCATTCAAGTACAAATTTGGTATGTTAGTTCAGTAGGCAGAAATACATATTTTGATGCTAAGTTTGGTTCTCTATGTCCCCTGGTTTGGAGCTGGGGTGGTGGGGTAGATTCCTTAACTTTATATACGAAAGCATTGGCAAAGAGAGATAACTGCTGAAGATGTTCCCATTGTAAACTGAATGCTGCTATGAGTCCCTTGGGATTAATTAGCTTTCCTCCTGAAGAAAATCCAGAGCATTATCTTTATCTGTCAAATTGAGATGAATTACCACCTCTGTCTGCAAATGAAGTTTGTTTTGAAGTTAAGTCAATTTGGAATGCTATGAACACTCTGAAATGTGGATTTATAAAATATAAATTTTTATAATTTATTTTTGTTTAATAGTTATGATTTCATTGAATTCTAATAACAAGAAATAGATTTACTTTTTTCACTTTATGTTAATTCAAGAATATTATTAATTTTTAGGATAGTTGTGTAAAAACCCCATTCTATCATTAATACTGAAAAAGTTCTTATTGTAACTTAAGAAGAAAATGATGAGAGAGGTACAATTAATCCCTTGGGATTAATTATCTAGCCTGCTGCAGAAAATTTAGTAGGCTTTTCTTTATCTGTCACTTTAAGATTAATGAAAACCTTTGTCTGCAACTGCTGTTTGTTTGAAGTTAAGGTCAAGCCTTCATGATATTTGCATTCATTGAAGGCTGGCATTTTATATAACACAAGCTTCATAATTGTTTAAATATACATTCAATTTTAAGTTGTTCTTTACTGCCTAATGTAAATACAAGGATATTATTTTCAGGTTTTTGAATATTCAGGAATTATCTTGAAATTTTAAGAATACAGTTGCTGTTGCTTATTCTTCGTACATTTTTCAATCATTCCATAAGCTGCACCCTATTAATTCTACCCCATGGCGGGGCCCTTGCTGACTGGTCAGTTTTCTAGTCATTTTAGTATTACATCCACATTTCAAGTCATGTTCATGCACTGTTAACATTACACATGTACATGGTTTGATAGGGACCAATGTATTGTACTTGTTGCTGAAAATAATCAGTTTTTTTCTTTGGTATGGTTGGCTATAATGGAGAAATTGATCTGTGTTCTTGTATATTCTTATGATACCCTTCTTATCCATTAAGCAAAAGATTTATTCAAAAGTTAAAACTGGAACTAAATGCCTCATACCCAACTTTTCATGATTATAGTCATCTGAAATTTTCATGTTAATTGATTTAAAAAAAAAAGAATTGTTTAGAACTATATTTCTAGAAAAAATGGATTAATTATTACATTCAAACAAGATGTCAGAGGTAAATAGTTTGTGTCACTTGTGCTACATTTCTAAGTATCATTGTAAAAGTACCTGATTATTAGCCTACCTTTATCAATATGAGACCACCAGGGGTCTGATATTATTACATACCTGGTACCTGGCTGTTTTAGGGTGTTGCTGACAACAAAACCTAAAATACTGATAAGAAGAACCGTTTTAAGGGGAAACTCCCATTACTTTATTGATTTTTAAAAAGATGTATTTACCTAGAGTATCCCGGTGCAGTGCTTTTTAAACTTTTAATGCATAGATAATTAGACATTTGGATTAGCGTAACCTGTGTGATTCTGGAATACAAAAAAGGTGACATAATTCTTTCTCTGTCAATTTAGATATTTAATTTATTCAGAGAATATTTGGAATTTTTAGTGTTCATTGTGTGTATGATTTCGAAGAACAGGTTAGGATTAAATTTTACTTTTTGATTCAACATTTTTTTGTGTAAAATAAGTGTTTATGATGATGACAGACATTAGAGATGAGCATAAACAAATGGTTAGATGTGTGTGACAGACTTAAGGTAGTAGATGTGAACTATTTGTATAGCGGGTATCAGAAATTTTCTGTTAAATTGAAAATAATTTGGGACAAATGAAGATTTGTAATTTAAAATGGTTCACTGCATGTTGTTCATTTGTTATGTTCACTTAAGAAACCTTCTATAGTTCTCAATGAAGCAGTGGTAAGATTTTAAATATGAGATAATTTACAAGTGAATTTTGCAAAATTACTAAAAACTAGAAAAAGAATCAGTCAAATGCCCACAGGCATTGCTATGTACATGCATTAGTAGGTTGGTGACATAATCTTGTAATGAGTTTTTAGATGTAGGGATAGCACACATATTTTAACTTTGATTCACTTCTAATTAGTGCAGAACATTTTACAGTTATATAGGGATAATAACCTTTTTATGTTTGATGTCTGACATTCAATGACCCAGATTGACACAACAGGGACTTTCTTTTACAAGCCGTCAGTTCCCTCAGACTTGACATAATCACTTCAACAAAGATTTTATTAAGCTGTGGAGAAATTTTTAAATGACTAAGAATAATACTTGTTATGGTGGGTCCCCTATAAAAACCTGTTATACAGCAAGGTAAAAAGGATTTATAAACATTGGATTGTATAAAAACAACTTTTACATATGTTAGCTGAACTGGTAAATGATTTGATTTGATGCTTTTTAAGTATGTTTGGTGTTATGACTGTCATTGAGGTGGAAAATTAATGAGATTTCAATTTTTTTTTCGTAGTAAAAACACGGCTCACGACCAGGAAATCCAGAAACTGTATGAAGAAATGGAATATCAGATCAAACAGGAGAAGCAGAAGATCCTGACAGAGGTAGGGCAGATATAGTAGTGACTAGAGTTAGGGATGGAATAGTGGATACAAAAAAGGAGGATAGGGTGGTGGTCAATAAAATAGGGAGTGGGTGGGGGGGGGGGGGAGAGGGTAGATTGCCAGAATAAAAGGGAATTGACTGGTGGTCAAAATGGAATGATGCCCAGTTTAGGTGGGAAAGAATGGTAGTTATAGAATGGAAAAATAGTGGTGATTAGAATAAAGGTTGAATGGAGGGATGGAGTGGTTTGGAGAATAGAAGGCAGCATTAAGTCCAGAAAGAATGAACTGTTGCTGAAGTTTCAGTTTGTTTTAGATTTGAAATGTTCAAAGCATAACAGAATGACAGATTTACAACAAAAGTTTATGACAGGTCATCAACATTTTGCTTTGTTGTTAAGTTTTATATACCTATATTTTATTGCTACAGTATTCATATTCTGTGTTCCACAAGACACTTGAAGAAAATATCAATAGGAAGATTTTATTTCCAATGAAGTATAGAAGATGTATATGGCTTTGAATAAGCTTACATAAAATATTTGATTTATAAAGAAACTTCAAAAGCTTCCAAAGATTTTTAATCAGATTTAGCATGATTTATGACACAGTGAATTATTTTCCATATCTCCATACAGACACAAGTTTTATAGCTATACATGCTGTTGTAAAGCCGTTTACAGTTTGTGATGGTTAAGAGGAGGTTGATATTAAAGTGTTATACGGCAGAGCTATGATGAATTGATGACAAGGTGTTTATCACATCGGTGTCCATGAAAAATTTCTAATGCAAACCGGAGCATGTAGACATGTCCACTTGTCCAGCTTAAACCCACACAATCTGAATTTATTTCAATGGTCATCCATTATTCTGCGTTACCTGTCCACAGGTGTATGCTTACACAGGACAACTGTTACAAATGTGCAGCCATTTATTTTGGGAGTTTTTCTTTTAGTTGTAACTGTGTTCCCTTGTGTTAATTTCTGTTGTGACTAGAATTTAAAGAGATTTCAAGATGGATTTGGATGATAATCATTTACCTGGACAGTTATGTTTTAATGAGCTCAAGGTATCTCTTTAAAATTAAGCTCTGGAAATCCTCTTAGTGGTATCAGAAATATTTCAGCTGTAATTACCTGAAATGTAGTTCTTGATTTAAACTTTGTCTTAATTGATTCAAAATCTTTCAATTAATGGGTTTGGGTTGAAAAGACTTAAATCTTTTTGTTTCCAACTTTTAGGAGCAGTTGAAAGAGAGACAGATGAGAGAGGCAATGGAGGAAGAATTAAAAGAAAAAGACAGGCAGCTACAGGATCTCCTTGCTAAACACCAAGAGGTACATTTTTGTGTGACGATTTTAATATTTACTTTTTTAAATTAGCAAAAATAATATTTTTTTTATACTATATGTGAATGTGCATCACTTTTCTAAATACCTAAATTATGAAGTCATCACTCACCAATGTTTTGTTTTAATTAAACAATTAAAAAGAAAACTATTTTTGAGCCAGTAAAATTTTAACTATCTTTCATAAAATTATCAGATTTATTGGAGACTTGACTTTACTGATGTATTGGTAAAAAAGTAGAAAAATAGAACTACTAACAAAATTGTTGCACAATACTGTTAATGAGCAGTGAAATTAATTTTAAAGAAGTTAAAACAGTTATAAAAAGAATTATGTGTGGACCGATATCTGAATTTTTAAATAATTGAATTTAAAAGTCTTTGTCAGGCATTTTTTAAAATAATATTGGAATTTATATTCTTTACAACACATTTACAAATTAGTGGATTTATTTAATTTGATTATAATAGCAACAAATATCAAATCATTATGGAATTATATTGAAATCAGTAGACAAATAATTTTCTAAAAGCACAGTCAAAAAAAAAGAAGGAATGCACATTTGTATTACAGAAATATCTTTAAAAAGATTATAAAAGCACAGTCCAAAAAAAAAAGAAGGAATGCACATTTGTATTACAGAAATATCTTTAAAAAGATTATAAAGTTATTAAGTCACATGCATTCACCATCATAAACTTTCTGCCCTCTCAGCAGCACAAAATCACCAAGCTTTACAATAATTATACCCCAACTCGAAAGGAGAGAGGGGTCCATACTGTTTTACCCTCGTGCGTCTTTCTGTCTGTCTGTTTAGCTGTCCATCTGTGTGTCTCTGTTTCCGCCACTTATAAATTTTTGTGGCAGTTTTCTCAGCAACTAGCCATTGCAGAAGCTTGAAATTTTAGCACACTTTTTGTGTAAGCATGCCATATGGTGGGATTCATTTTTGTTCATAATTGTCAGCATGAAAGCTAGGGTATATTCACATCAGAGCAGGGATATTTCTAGTGAGCATTTGCTCACAGATTTTTTCAAGAACTTTTCTTTCGTCTGCAGAATTGAATCATTATGATAAAATGATAAAAACAATGAAATGTTTAGCTAAAAATTAGATTTAAATTGTTGACTGTTTTGTCATAAGAATAAAAAGACACTGAAAGCAAATTTTCTTTTTTTCCCTTTCAGATGGAAAAAAGAATGAGTGAATTAAACCAAACAGAGGTGGAAACCAAACTGGAAAATGACAAGTTAATGAAGGTTTGTTGATTCTTCACAAGTCCTTTATCTGAATTGCAATATATACCGGTATATGCAATCATTAAGTATAAATATATACAGTCACTTCATAAATTTTTTCATGCCTTTTCGTGAAAGAAATTTGGATATGTGCTATTTTTAAAAATGTATGCAGCAAATGTAACAAAGAACATGAGGAAAATTGTTGAGCTTGAAAACATTTTTTTCAGGAGAAAGAAGCCTTAGAAGAAATGCTAGAGAAATCTCAAGAGAGTCTGGAAGAATCAAAATCATACATTGGTCAGCTACGGTCTCAACAAAAAGACGAAAAACGAGAAAGAGCCAGGTATGTGTCCTACAGGGTCTCTTGAAGATAGAAAAATGAATAACACATTAATTGGAGAACAAGCAATTCCACTTCTAATGATAAGCATGTAATGTGTGTCATGTACAACTTTGATAAATGGTCCATTATATCGTGGTCATTACAACTATTAAACTTCTAAGGATAGGGTTTTTGCATACACTGGGCATAAAAATTGCATCTGCATGCAGATACTGTATACGGGGAAATTTTCGCCCCCGTTTTATTTTTGCCCCTTTCGCCCTCTTCCTGATTGGGCGAATTTAAAACGGTGCGAATTCAAAGTACGCAGCATAATTTCTTAAACAAAACTATGACTGGGCGAATTTAAAACGGGACAAAATAGTTCGCAAGTGCAAAAGGGCGAAAATAACATGGGGCGAAAATAACCCTGTATACAGTATACAGGATTTTACAGAAACACAGTGGTAGATCTCTTAAGTACTGTGAGAAATAATTAATCTAAGGAAATCTGTATTTGAAGGATTAAGAGTAAATTAAGTAATTGAGGAAAAATGAACAAGGACCTTATGGTAGGAGGTCAAAGTTCAAGATAATCTCTTAGTCACCAGTTTCTTTTAAGAAACAGAAGAAATATGTTTATAGGGAAGTGTTTAAGATTAATTAAAAGATTTGATTTGTGTATACGAGGGGTGTTAGAAAAGTTCGCGGACAAGTTCTATTGTGAGCGCGCTATTTTCACGAAACCAGTCAAACTTTTCAGATAAAATCTTAACCTATTTTCCAATAAATATACAAAACTTTGGTGTTCTCTGGTGCTCAGTGAAAAATATACAGGTGTTTTATTTTGATAAATCTTGCTTAACGGAGCATGCTACATTTTGGCACGTTTACATCACATAGACCCTTTATCAAAATTAAAAATTGCAAATTTGTAGCGCAAAGAGATTTGTGATATTTTACCTGTCGCAAAAGTATTCATGAAACATCACTGGGAGAAATTTTGGATCAAATTGGAGGGTATATAACTGTTTTATAGCCATTTGTAAGTGATCAACGCATAAAAACACAGCCAAAAATCGGAACGTCATTGAGCGTCATGGAGCACTGCACTACGTAAAAATTATGTATGCAGACAGGAAAATGTCTAAAAAAAAGATTAAAATGTGCAAGATGCCGCAGGGAATTTCCTACACATACAAAGGACAAAAGTTTTCAAATGGTTGTAGCTTTATAAGAATGTAAGGATTAAAATTTTGAATGATTAACCCCATCGATACTTCAATGCCCCTTTATTGCATTGACGTTGTGCCTTTATGGTTTTGCATAGTTTCCATACCTGATCGATTTACTGCATAGACTTTTTTCCCAAAGATCTCAATAATATCCGAATCAGTACAAAAGACATTATAGTATAAAAGTAACATGTCTTGATATAGATATTCAAATTTAGAGTAGAAAAAAGATAAAAAAAATATGGAAAAAATGAAAGATTTAATGAACTGCGACAAAGCTTAACGGGTTGAAATCTGGCTGTCACGTTGCCTTACGTCAAGTGATTGCTCCGTGAATCCCATGACCTCATAGTAAAAATCGTCGTAAATTTTCAAGATTGTAGTAAATGGACCTGATTTTTTACATACAGATAAACAAAATGCAGGTATTTATTCAGACATAGGTCATGCTTCACAGTATACAATAGATTTTCCGTAATTCAATGTGTCCGCGAACTTTTCTAACAACCCTCGTACATGTATATGTAGGAATTTATTTATGTAATATACTTTTACTCTTTCAGGGCAGCATTGCGTTTAACAGAAAACATTGCTTTGGAAAGAGAAAGTTTGGTTAAACAGCTTGATTTACTCAGGTAGTTTTTGAAATTTAATTCTGAAAAAGTTTGAGATTTGTTTATTGTGTTGTACATATTTAATTTTGGATTTCCTTTCTGTCCACAGAGATGTAAACAAGAAGCTTCGAGATGACAAGGATGAGGCAGAAACAAGGCGGGTACATAGATATTTTATATCTGACCCTTATTATCTATATACCATGAGATTTAAAAGCACAAAGCTGAATTAATGATAAATTAGGAAGCAGAAACAATGCATCTATATGAACATTTTATATCTCTCAGTGAATTAATTTCCTCAGACCCTGAGTATTACAGTGGCTAAGCCTAATTAACTTTTAATTATAATTCTGAGTACTAGCTTGTACATTACGAAACTAAACATTTTTTCTCTCACTCTATCTTCATGACCGAATATAGTGTTTTGCAATATGATGCAATGGATGAAGTACTGTGTATCAGAATTATAAGTAAAAAAAAAAATAAAATCTGGCAAACGTATATCTAACATAAGCTAAGTTAAAAAATGTAGTTGTCATTAGAAGAAATCAGAAACAGCAGTTCTACTTCTGTCATTGATAATAATAATTGGATATTACATTAAATATTGCCTAGAAATCTGACAGTAAGTTTGTCATTTTGTCAGTGTGCCGTCAGTGACACCGAGATGTCAGATGATTTACACCAGGTAACCATGACACTGACCCACTGACCTACTTTGTTGGAATTTCATTTCTTTTTTTGTAGTTCCTATTAAAATACCTTTGTTTATTTTAATTGCTTAATTTGAATTGAATGTTTCAGTGCATGACAGTAATGTATAAAAAGAATTTATGCATGGTGCAATGAACGATGGAGCTGATTTTCATAAAAAAGAAGAATTGATTAAGAAGCACAAATTAGCACTCTTTTTGTTTTACTTAAATGTTTTTATCCTGCATGTTAGTTCAATGATTAATTTGTTTTAAGCACAAGTTGTTTAAAATAGAGAGAGAAAACATGTAAAAATAAAAATGTAGACATTTTGGCAGTCACAATCAGCCACAAGTTACATGAAATAATTTTTGAAGGGGAAATGTAGATTTCATGGAGGCAGAAGTCTTGTAGAGGTGGTCTTCAAACAGCTGATTTTATGTTGTAGCTCCCTCACATTTTATTTGTAGTTTCTTAAAAGTACTCTTTTTATGAAAGATTTATAGAGAAAAATATTATCCATTTAAATTTTTTACAAATAAGTTTTAAGTATTACCAAGGTATAGAACATTGAAAATAAAATTTTACCAGCTTAATTTATGAATGAAGGAATTCATTAAGATTTTTCGTGTTATAGATTTTGGAGTCAGAAGCAAATGCGAAGAGGCAATGCTTCAGAAACCAGGACCCGTCCAAACGAGGATCCATCCTCGGCAACTACTTCCCTCCAAGCAGGTAAAACCACGGGGAAAATGAACAAAATACTCTTAAACTTATCTCACTACAAATTGGTAAATTTAATACATTATAATTGTTTTGAATTTTTTTTATATAAGTTTATTATATTGAATTATGCATTTGTGAAAAAAAGAATCACCAGCAAAAAAGAAAAACATCCCCTTGTACTTACTTTACTTGAAAAACGAGGGAAGAAATTTTTGATCAAAATTGATAAAAGAACAAATTTAAAAAATTTATTCCTTGCATATACAAATTATTTAAAATTGAAAATATAATGTACCAGTATATTATTTTTCTTTCATTCAGAGGCAGAATGGACTCCACCCAAGAATCAATCTCGGAGTTTTCGAACGACGAGGATCTAGAGCAATCGCAGCCACATCATCATTCACTTCATGACATCACAGACATCGCTGATGACATTGAATGCGATGATGATGTCATGACCACTCAGCACACACAGTCACTTGATCATGTAGATAGTCATTATGGGATAGGTGGGCAGGGTTCACAGGTCACTGAGAGCCAGAACAGGGATCAAACTACAAGCAGTGATGGGGAAATAAATGTTAGAAGTTCTAGGTAGGATTACAATCAAGAAGTCGTCAATGTGATGATATAAATCAATTAGGACAGAGACTTTTTTGAGTAATTTTGGAATTCTGGGAATTTTGTCTTTTTTGTAGACAGAGGCACAAGCAGCACAAGAGACAGAGAAAAAAAGGACAAAAAGCAGTGGTTGATGAAAATAGGTAAAAACAAATGCTGAGATAGAGCTGAGGTGAAATGTGTAACAGAATAACAAAACTAACCATACAGTAACAAAGATACATGTATTATCAAGGTGTTTGAAAGGGTTGTAAATTCTGCCAACAATTTGGGGCCATTTCATGAAACTGAAAAAATCATGTATAAGCAGTACATGCATTTTGCCAACAATTTATAGGGGCTGTTACATATGAAATGGAATTAAAATAGAGCATTATTTCATCAGTTAACTTCAACATGGTTAATTTTTAAAATATAAACCATCCAGCAAGTATTGAAAAAAGATTTAAAAATCCTAATTGATAGAAGAAAGTAATCACCATTCATATCATGTTTTGTAACATTTTATTTCTTAGCCATTGTAGTACTATTAGAAATAGAGCACTAATCTCACTGGTTTTTGCTTAGTGTGCACAATACTAGTGTTCCTGGTGATGGAAACTGTTTCAGAGACGACATCGAGGAAGACGGCGACAACATTGACCTACAGGTGGCTTCGGCATACGAGGATTTGTTCGGCGGAAGCAAGAGGCGAGAATCCATCTTTGTGGAGACCATAGAGGACTATATGAAGCGACTGAATCAACATTCCATTCAGCAAGAAAAATCAAAACGCTTCGTACCAAAGACGGAAGGCGATGCTTTAACTGAAAATGATGAGGAAATTCTGGAAAGAGGGTGTGGCCTATAATTTCCTTTGAGCAGTCATATATGATACCTGTGTATGGTTTAAAAGCATCCTTGAGAATGCACTTTTAAGGAGGGAGCTTGTTATTATGCAGCCTGACCTTCAGATATTCCTGGAATGATTCCACATTTCTCTGCCTATGGTCATTCTCCTGGGGGGTTATTTTATTTACTGGTGGTGAAGGGTGTAGGTAGCGGCTCTCCAGTACAGGTGATTATGGAGCTTTTTTGGGCTTGGTATTTGGCTTATTTAATTATTGCTTATTCACTTTTCTATGCATTATTTTAGTGTACTTTATTCAAACCTGCAGTTATTTATAACTGAATTTAAATTAATCAACATGTACTAACATTTAATTACAGGGATGATACTGATACTAACAATTATGAGGACACTAATGAAACATCTTTTAGGTACATGATGTTTTATTATTTATCAGCTGATGTATTTAAATATTTTGATACTTTAAGAATTTACATCATGTTAAATGATTTTACTTATTTTAAAAAAAGTATTGAAAGGATGAATTTTTAATTTCTAACCAAACAGAAATGGAATTGTCCCTGAAACTCCCAGAGGACAGCCTGTCGGAGAGGACAAGGTATGTTCTACATGTATGTTTTGACTAGTCTTATAATTAAGAAAACAAGATGTGTTTGTGAAACACTATGCGCCCGGCGGCAACAAAGTTAAAAAAAAAACATGTTTTAGTATGTAGGTCACAGTCAAGGTCACAAGGTCATTGATCATGGTGTCATTTTAAAGAGATTGATTAGTGGACAATGCATACCAAATATGAAGTATCTATCTCTCGTGGTTCAAAAGTAATGATGATTGTTCAAAAAAGCTATTTTTAGCATATAGGACACAGTCAAGGTCACAAGGTCCTTGACCTTGGTGTCGTGTGAAAGGGCTTAATTAGTGGAGTAGGCATGCGAAATATTAAGTCTCTATCTTTCTTCATTCAAAAGTTATTGCGAAGGTTAAAGTTTACTGACAAAAAAGCTATATCGAGTATACAGGTCACAGTCAAGGTCACAAGGTCATTGACCATGGTGACATTTAAAAGAGCTTCATCAGTGGTGTATGCATACCAAATATGAAGTCTCTAACTTTAATGGTTCAAAAGTTATCGTAAAGGTTAAAGTTTGCAGAAAAAACTATTTTTAGCTTATATGTCACAGTCAAGGTCACAAGTTCATTGACCTTGGTGTCATTTGAAAGAGCTTTATTAGTGGAGTATGCATGCCAAATATTAAGTCTCTATCTTTCTTCGTTCAAAAGTTATAGTGAAGGTTAAAGTTTGCAGACAAACAGATAAACAGACAGACAGACAGGACAAAAACAATATACGCCTCGGATCTTTCGATCCGGGTGCATAAAAATAGAATCTTTCAATTAAGTTTTATTAATGAAAGGTGTTGATTCATTTTATTTAAATAATTTAGGAGAGAGAATGTATCTTTAAAACATTCGCAATTGAATGAAAATATTTATGTTTGGACTGTGGAGCATATGTTGTAGAAGTGTTATAAATCTGATAAGCCTGTTGATTAAAAGAAAAAAATAACTATACCCTATTTCATTCACTGCTGTGTATGTATATTAATGCCATTTTTCTGTGATACAGACTGATGAGGAGGTGACCCCTCCCCCCAGACAGAGGCTGTTTAAGGTCGTATTTGTGGGAGACTCAGGTGTTGGCAAGAGCAGTTTCATACACAGATTCTGTAATGACCAGTTCAACCCCACATTTAGTGCAACTATAGGTAAGGACAGAATATATTTGGCATAGAAATTTTAGTTTGAACACACAATTAATTTATATGCTTTTTTGGCAAAATTTAAATGTCATCTTCAGTTTGTATAAGAAAGAGTGTATTAGTAGCTATTTCAGAACTGCAGTGAATTTTATTGTGTTCTTTGGGTAGTTCATAATCTTTTCTACATTAATTTCCAGGTGTGGACTTCCAGGTGAAGAGTCTGGTGATGGAGGGACAGGTGATTGTTCTACAGCTCTGGGACACTGCTGGCCAGGAACGGTAAGTCACGGACAGAAAGTCTTAAAATATGTCAATCAGCAGCCTGCTTCTAAGCATTTCGTCACCGTGTGATTAAATCTTTTTTACATTTCTTTCAGCTGAGATAAATTTTAAAACAATGTTTGTTTAGTTTTTTGTATAGTTTTTTTTTGTAAATCAAAACTAGGAATATACATATGAGTGATTTCAAACCAAATCTTGCTCATCTGTTACTAGGTTTCGAAGTATCACGAAGCAGTATTTCAGAAAAGCGGATGGTGTGATACTGATGTATGATGTCACCACAGAGGCCACATTCACCAATGTCAGGAACTGGATGACCAGCATAAAAGAGGGGGTGGAGGAAGGAACAGCCCTGGTTGTCGTCGGTAACAAGACAGATCTGATTGAGGAGGATGACAGAAGAGCCGTCAAAGCTAAGGACGGGAACAAACTCGCTGCTGTATGTTTACATTGCTATACTGTCTTGTTTTGTTTCTGTATATCTATTAGAGATGGAACAATTTTATTGCAGTTGATTCTCATTAAGATTAATTTGAGTGCTTGTTATCCCAATCATATTGTCTGGATTAATGAAGTATCCAGATGAAATGCATCTTTTATTATTTTATAATTGGTAGATGTAAATGTATTGGCATCAGGGTTTTGGAGGCTTCACTGCATATATTATAGTTTGCAGTTAAGTATAAAGTTTTACATTACGTCACGATCTTTTTCATCAGATGCATCCAGCGTAAACAATTCTCGTAATTGGTCAACTCAAATTATCAACATTGACACGGAAATAGTCTGTTGCACGAGCAACCAATCGGGGATAAGAAGAAAGTTCCAGTCGTAAAGCTTGCGGTTAGGAGGCGGTACAATTTACCTTGAGCGCAGCTGTCAACTAGATCGTGACTTAATGTGAAACTTTACACTTAGCTGCAAACTATAATATGTGAAATTTGAATTATGAAGAATATTTTCAAGTCTTAGAGCTGTTGGATTTTAGAATTTGAAACCAAATTATGCTATTAAAAATCCATTATAAGAAAAGAAATTGAAATCATTAGTAATGGAATTTTATTTTCAAGAAATATGTTATTTTACTAAGTGGAAATATTTTTCTTCAGGAATTTGATGCCACCTTCTTTGAGGTCAGTGCCAAGTCTGGAACAAACATCAAGGAATGCATGGAAGCTTTAGCAAGGTGATCATTGTTGTTTGTGAAATGGAAAATATGTACTATAACTGTGTTAACCTTACTCATGCAATCCTAAGCTGAATTTTTTTTTTCTAATAGTTTCCCTCACTTTAATACATGTATACATGTATCTATTGTTTTAAATTCTTCTTTAATTATGAAAATTGATTGATATATATTTTACAGTTGTGTGTTTTACGATTTTACAAAAATGTGGTAATATTAAATTACATAATGTGATAATACTGTCCATTTTAGAATTTTAAAAGAAAAGGAAGACGATGAAATAGAGAAAGCTGTACATTTAGAAGATTCTGAGAAAAAGAAAAAAGGGGGATGTTGTAGCTGATAGATATATTTAACTTGTCATCATAATAATAAGGAATACTCATCGTTACCATTGAACAAAGCAACTCTTTCCTGGAAAAAGTGAGGTTTCGGTTGACTATGTCATAACTCGTTAGTAAATCCATAAGAAATGTTATTTTTACACAAACAGAACAGTGCTGCTGTTCTAAATTTGCTGCTTCCAGTACGTGTCTTGATTTTACAGACATTATCCAAAGTGGTTGGCTTGGAAAGTCCCTTCTTTGATCTCAGTGTTCTAAGAACAAACATTCTATTTATTTTTTAAAAATATGCTGATTGCATATACCTCTGACTATCCCATAATAACTGATCTCCTTGGTTATAGAAATCCATTATTATTTTAGTGCAATATATGTTAGATTTTATTTTCATATTTTTATGATATACACAATTGCAAACTTGTTTCATTATTTCATAAGTTATGTTTTATAATTTATGTATGGGGAAATAATAAATCCTTGGTTGTTATTTATTTATTCTCTATAGGAAATAATTTTATGAACACTTGCATTATTTTAATGGTGTACATATTGGCGTTATTTCTTTCGATTCATGATCTGCGCATAATCCTGCATTTAAAAAAAAATGCTGATTTTCATGATTCATAGATCAGAACATGTATACAGATTTCAAAATATTTTTTTTACACTGTATCCATACAATGTTTCATGTTTTACTACAACAATTCCATAAAGCATTCCTGAACTATGCAATAAATGTTGATGTCTGCTACATTGTAGCTTCTGTTCTATTTGTTGATTGAGCATTCTACATACAAAGCATGTTTTAATGATGCTTGTGGGAAATGTATTTTAATTTGTACTATATGTATATATAAAATTGTTTATAGTATTTATAAAATTTATACTATTTAAAAGTTGGTATCTGAAAGCAAAGAACTATATTCGGTATACTGCATATCTTTGCCCCCACTAAAGTCAAATTTTGAAAAATTTTTAAAATGTGTTGAAATGTATAAATTGTATGAAAAATATAAATTAACAAAACATATTCTAGTTTCAAAGTAGGTTATTGACAATTTTTGTTTTTATGACATCACAAACTAGTCGGAATTTGCATTATAATTTAGAAAAAAGGACAAAATGGACAAAATTTCAACAATTTTAGCTATAGAATTTATAGAGCGCAGGTCTGCTCAGGAACAATATTTGCATATTTAATTGATATTATCATTCTACACATTATATCAAAATATTGAGCCTGATCAGACCTGCGCTCGGTGATTTTTACTCAAAATATCGATGCAATATTTACATTTTTCTGTAGAAATCATGGAATTTTTAAATTTACGTCCTTTTCCTGACGTCATTTCAAACATATGACGTCATTGCTAATGAAAACATTCAGTGCTTTGAAGTCAGCATGTATCCCCCTGTTTTAAAACATAATTAAATATTACTCTGTCAAGGTTTGATTTTGGGGGCAAATATTGGTTATTACCGAATAAAGTCCTTTAAAATTAGTCTACATTTACTTGCAACAAACAAAATGTTACATTGTAAAGAAAAGAAAATATTTAATTGACTTACTTCATTTTATTTAAAATTAATTTAGCTTTTACTCATTTTAAATGAAAACTAAAAAATATATTTTAAACACTTAAGCTTTTATGTACAGTCATGAAAATTTATGACTTTTTAGCACAGGGTTTACAATTTAAATCAGTTCTTTTTTTTATTATACATGACATTGTATATGTTGCACATGTGCACTACATTCCAGATAATAAATACTGTTATAAAGAATTGTTCAAGTCTTATATTTACATGTTTTTGTTCTATTTCTGTATGCATACTTTGATTTAATAGAATATGTATGTTTATCTATGGAACACAATTGTTAAGCAAAAGAAAATCACTGTCACTGGTCTGAAATCTGACTTTTAATTTATCAATTTTAAATCTGGAACACCTTTTTAATGTACAAAGGGATGTATTAGGTCCAAGTTCTTAACAAAAACAATGTATTTACTAAATTGCCAGCACTCTGAATTCAGCATCCCTTTAGAGTGCTGTTTAATTACATCAACCATTCCTTAAACAGTTAAGGATATAGAGTGATTCATAACTTTCCTCAGATGTCGACAACAGCCTTATTGAAACATTAAATTGATACTAAGTATCATTAAGCATGCAATATTCAAAATTGCTTCAGTTGTCATGTTAGTGGAGACAGGTCAATTCGGGGGAGAGGGCATGCACTGTTGTTTGCAATTATAGTAAACATGAGTTTTTAAATGCTGAGATGCCTAGCTGCCCTTGAGGTAAATGTCTAAAGACTTTTGGTAACTAATAAATAGATCGGGATTAGGAACACTTCTTATGTGCGATAGTTGGGCCATTTTCATCATACTCCTGTTTAGTGATGCACATTTGTTCGAAAGTGGAGAGAGAACCCAAGATGGATCCACCTTTCCACGCTAAATACTCCCGGTCATGCGCAGTACTTGAAGTGATTTTCACCTTCATGTTGTTTGGTGGGTCTGATTTCAGCTCTTTTTCTAATCTTTCAATAAATCCTGGAAACAAGGTTGATCCACCGGAAAGGATAACATTGGAAATGTCTTTCCAAATATTTTTGTCACATTCTAAGATGGAGTCTAGGATTTGCTTATGTATCCCTTTGGCTTCCAAACCTGGAAATAATAAAAAAAAACTAAGATTTCAGTTTTACCCATTATTTTTCTGTACTTCATAAAAATTAAGATTTGTTTTTAGTCGGAGTGTACTGTAATGCTGTAAAATTTCATTATAATTAAAAAGTTGCAGCAACAACAGTAGGGTTCGGAAGGTTTAAAATATATTGGAGGATTTAAAATATATTGGATGGCTTACCTACAAAAGATGGCTGAAATAGTATTTCTGGACACCTGAAACAATTGTTACCAATTGTGATCACTTGTCCGTCTGGGAGTTCATAAGTGTTTTCCTGCCGTGAACAACGTTTTGAGGCAGATAACTCTTGTTCAAAGTCCATGGTAACGTAACAGAGCTTCTCCTTAGTGCAACGAACGATTTCTTGGTCGGCTGAAATAAAAAAAGAGAGGTTTTTTTGGAAATAAAGGAAAATGGATGTCTAGACAAATTAGGGGGATTATGGATTTGAAAATTTACTTAAATTAACTAAGTTGTTTCCATCTTTTACAAGTTGCTCTTGTAAATTTTTTGTCAAATCTCTACCAGCAAGATCAATTCTCTTCATGGCATGCGGTAGAGCACACGTACCTTGTAGAAAATAATAAAACAAAAATTTTCATCTCATTTTTTGAAGCATTAAAGTAATTGTGAGGTGCTACATGTTGTTTTTCCTAAGGACCCTTTACATACGAAGAACTTGCCTTCATGAATAGGGAGAATTTAAGAAACTCCAGATTCGAGCACGATTCCCGTCGTTCGCCCACATCCGTACATAGAAAGAACTGGTGACACACTGACGTACAACCTGGGAACGTCAAACCATTCGAACATTATCTGTAAATAAGGAAAGATTGGGTACGATTAAAAAAAGTTCGATAAATACAGAAATGGATTTAAACATGTGCCTTTCAAAAAGGATTTCGGATACGCCTAAATCTAAACCAAAAAAAAAATGTACTGAATTTTAGGGAGAATTCAAAAGTGGACAAGAGAACGTTGTCCTAGAGGCGAACTGTTTATAAATTGATAAAGAATAACCGGGTTAAATTCATGGTAAGTATTCTTTTTTTATGTATAGAATGTTGACATGCTTCAAACTTTAAAATTACTAGCATGCCACCTGTGGAGTCTGAGTTTCGTCCCCAATATAAGAATCCTTGTTGCAAATCCCCACCACTGCCATCTAAAAAATGGTTGTCGTGTTAAATTGACATTAAATCAAGCATTATTAAATGGAAATAGATTACTAGTTTGTTTCAAATAAACCATTACGACATCATGCCAAAATCTGGGTTGAAGCCAACTTTGAAGCCAGTCCAGGCCAAACGGACCAAGCCAGGTTTTATAGCAAGCCACATTTGAAATATCGAGCTTGAATTTTGGTCTTCCTGTGAGCATTGGAAAAACGAACTTTGGGAAATCCCGTCCAGCAATTTCAGCCTTACAAACACCCGATCCATTATGAATTACAACAACGGCACTGTCGTCCTTCGGCATAATAAATCTACAAATCAATGAAAATTCTCTTTACAGTCTATTTTAAGCAGGAGAGATAGGGAGAGAGGAAGAGGGAGAAAGAGATTGCTATTAATAGTAATAATTTTGGTAAATTAAACGGGATATTCACTGTCTTCTTACCCTAATTTTGTTGAAGATTATTTCTGAGCATGGTCGGTTCCATTATGGTCTTCTAAATGTGGCACGAAGTATAAATGGGTCATTTTTCAAAAAAAGTTCACTTTTTTGTCTTTTGATCAGAATAATAGGAAAAATATCCTTTAAATTTTTTTTCCCGTTGGTTAATATACATGGTCATACAGCTTATAAGTTATTATTATAATAGAAATTTTATAACGCGCTTAGTTAAATGATAGGGAAAATATTATCCTGTGTAGATATGTACAAATTTTGCACCTCATATTAATTGAATTCGTTCACAGATTAATTTAGTATGGGTGTTTTACTTATGCCGCCCACTAAATACTATAGTATTGTGCATTTAACATTCAGGAAGTGACATGTCCTACCAGTTTATTCCTGTTACCAAAAAGAAAATGTTAAAATAAAAGTTATCTCACTTTCCTAGGAACTGTTTTCACGATCCTCAATATATCATCATTTTCTGTTGTCTCAAGTTTATGAACGCCATGATTTGAAAGTGAATAAAGAAAGGGTTCAAAGGTCGATAAGTTTGTCTTATTGGTAGTGTATAATGAAAATATGTCCTATCTGTTACCTTCATAATATGCAAGTACTCTTTAAATTGTTTATTCTGCTAAAACAATTAGATGAACTAAGTTACAAAGAAATGGTTTCAATGTCTCGATGATGCATAAAGAGTACATTATACTAAATAATGGGTGATTTATATGAGAAACGTCCATCCTGTTACTGTCATTCCTGTTACCATTAACATGGTAACAGTAAGGAAAACTGGACTTCATATCTTGAGTTTTAACCACGAAAACAATTACCTTTATTTTTCTAAGTAATAAAAGTTTAATTACACATGTTAAAAAACTTCGTAAATCATATTGAAATATGTTTGTGCTTCAAATAGTGCCATTATAACTTAAACATGCACTCTTGTAACAGAATGGACAGAAATTGTAACCGGAGGGACAAGTTATCCGTGTATTTATATACCTATTTAAGTTTTATCATTTGTTTTTCTTGAAATTATGAAATATTCTTAGTTTTGCAACAGCATAGAGTACCTTTAATAAACAAAAAATGAAGTGATAAATATTTTAATAGCACTTTACAGTTAAATTTCGTAACAGGATGGACATAAATGTCTTTCATTGTCTCGAATTTGCCAGATTTGACAAAATCATGTTTTTATTCTACATTTCTCTTTCTTTTCTTAACCATTAAAGTTAGAAAAAGTCATTTTTATTTAAATTGTAGAATTCATTGTCCATCCTGTTACACTGTTTTGTCCATTCTGTTACTGTTTTGTCCTTCCTGTTACCCGAGTCCTTACTGTTACCAGTATATTTTCCGAGTTTAAATTGCTTTGGCAGAGCACCTGTTTAAATAATTTTCTTTAATTGTTTCTTCTAATCACAAAAATAATGTGCAAGATTATTTTTTTCAACTATAGTATATAAACATTCCGCAATAAGGTTTTTCATGAAGAGAACCCCGTAGATTTTGCTTCTGCTTGGTATATGGTAGTTTGAAATGCTTTTAAACGCTCATATATTAGATGAATGTCAAACATCTTGGCATTCAATGATAATTTTTTCATTTTTTAACAATATACCAAAGATTACACTGTAAAAAATAAGTGTTTTATAAATAAACACCATATTGCAACAGATAATAAACACTTCAACACGTTTAGAATTTAAACACCTCAAGAAGTGTTTAAGAAATAAACACGTTAGAATGTTTAAATTCTAAACACATGAGGTTTAATATTCAACACTTAAAAAACACAAAATGTTTAAAGATTAAACACTGAATAAACACTTAGAGTTTACTACATAAACACCGTGAGTGTTTAAAATTTAAACATTTCATGTTTAATTAATAAACGTGTTCAACCTAAACATTTAAACACTTAAACATGTTTATTTGATGCAACAGATAATAATCACTTAAACATGTTTAAAGGTCAATTTTTAAACACTTCAACGTGTTTATTTTACAAAATAAATAAATACCTAAATGTGTTTATAAGTTTTCAACATTTTTATTTGAAACAAATATAAATCAGTACAAAACACACTGCGGTTGATAATGTTGTACATAAAGCTATTTTTAATTAATAATTGATTTAATGTTGATTGAGGGTTCAAACTTTATAAACAACTGAAACATTAAATAACACGTTTACCAACACATGGACACATTATTCAATTTTGGTTGAAAAAAATAGCATTCTCAAAATAAACTAGCATGAAGATGTAAAATCTGCATCTTTAAACTAAACTCCAATAAATTGGTGTCGGGAGGGCGGGGGTGGGTCTTTGAAATATTAAAAAAAACATAATCGCTTAATAAAATGAAATGTTTTTCATCAGTAAAATTTAAAACATTTTTAAAAAAAAAAGGTTAAATCATCCTTTACATCTTTTTTAATAAATAAAACAAGCAAAATTATGAATAAATATGATACAAAAAACTGCAAATGATATTTGTTGTCTTGGTACAGCATGAATAATATGTACTTGTATTACACTAATAAATCTAGTTGTAAATGTTACAAGTTTATACTTTCACAATTATTCAGAGTTTTAACCAAATAAAGAAATTTTTCCAGTTTTGAATTGTAAAGGACCAATTCTTGCTTCTAAACAAGAGATGCCGGGGTATCACTCACTCAATATCCATATCATATTCTAACAGTCTAGCTCCTCTGGTTGCGGGTAAAATTCAGGTTCTTCTACAACGGATGATGATCTCCAGTTTTCCATTCTCCAAAATTGCATTCACCCCAAGTAGTTCTAATTTCTTCATATCCTGAAAGATGGATGAAAAAAAATATTCACTATGCAAATTCAGATAATTATCTGTAAAAGAATAGATCCACATAAATGTCGAAAAAAAATGTTTGTTATTGTTCACGCCAATTTAAATTATACTATACATACTGAGAAACAAGTTTGGAAAAAAAATCTGCAATTCAAATACCTGTAAATCATACATGTATAAGCGTACATGTACAGGCTGTACACTAAAAAAAATAAATGTTCATGTACCTGTAGGAGCAACCCAACAGCAAAAATTAAGAGAATGGGGGGGGGGGGGGGCTACCTTGTCCCAAGGCATTTTCTATCATGTATAACACCCCCTCAAAAAAAGTAAAGTTTCCTTAAAGAATACATGCACGGGCTGGAGATGAAATTATTGTTGGTAGATGCGCTAGCAGCAGATCTGTAGCGTAATAGTTTTATGTATTAGTTATGGTCAAAGGCAAATACATAAAAACCATAACGCTACAGATCTGCAGCTAGTACATGTGCGAATGTGGTATTGTTGCATGTTAAGGAGCATAAATATTAGCAAGGGTAGGTTCCTAATTGGATTATTTTCATTTATCAGGAACCAATGGTGTTTGTGTGTGGGGGGGGGGCGTTTTTATTTTAAGACTCACCTCTCACGGTTAAGTATGATCTTCGTTCTCAGGATTCACAGTACCAGATGAATGTCCCTGCAAATTTTAAAATTAGATATCAAGACTACATAAGCATTTATTTGTCTACCTCTGCGCATGGCCGGATTGCACTCAGACGATTACTAACTATAGGAAACAATCCTGCATTTCATAAATGAAAAACATTTTAGATCTCTAACGTATTCAGCATTCTTTTTTAAAAGATTTTACGTAAAGAAATGTATAAATATACCTCTTATTTCCTTACTAGATATGGCGTTTCTTGTCAGTATGTGCGTGATTCTGCATCTTCTGCTTCAAATGGCATGTTATGACATAATCAACTGCGTCATTTTCTATCATAACGTATTAAACACTGGTGTTTAATTAAAAATTTTATAAGTGCGCTTTAGCGCATGCAATGAAATTAAAATTTTATGAATAAAACTGAAGTAAGGTATAATATGATTTTGTACAATCTCTCTTAATTTTAATTTTTCTACACCTGGGTGGAGATTGTGATGATCCCTCAGAACTTTTGACATTTGTTCTACTACTATCGGTATGTTTACATGTGACGTCATTGACAAACTTAACATACCTCTGTTTCTTTGTAATGGCGCCTCTGCCGGTGCCTCTTGAGTAGCTCGACCCTCTGGACTTTCTCTGATCACCAGAGGGTCCCTGCCGAAAGGGCTGGTCAACACTCTGTCTTGGTTTCTTGTTGACAGGTCTGGCGATGTCCCTCGACATCTCTCGTGCACGCTTTCTGTCTTTCGACTTCCTGTACAGGGTCGTGTAAAAGTCGTTCCCAAACAAGACCGACTCGTCTTGAAATTTTGTCTCGTTTTCACGCAACATGCTCTTTGCTTTCTTGGTACTTTTGAGAATTTTGGCGAGTAAATTCAGTCTTCGTTCATAAAGATACGCAACATTCACTTGACCAATCATGAGTATAGTTTTTTCCAACAAGTTCACCACTTCCTCGATTTCCATACTAGACGTAGTGCCCTCATGAGCTTTGTCCATTTCGTCCCAAATTCTAGATAAGGGTCCCATGCACTGAGAAACTCGTTTCTGTACAAATTTCAGTGAAGAATCGTGCATTTTCAAGAACTTCATAGACTTGTGATCCGCCACCAAGTCCTCGAGATAATCGTCGACATCCGGCGGATTCAAAAATTGGTTGCCTGGTATAGGCGCGTCCTCTAAAATGCGGGAGCGAATTTTCTCCTCAGATAAATGAAGTTTGAAATACTTCTTGGCATACTTTGCTTTACTTTTATCAAGCATGTATTCCGTCTCATCACTGAGCGGATCAAAACGCTTAGCGTCTAGTTCATCACCAGAATCGGCCTGCGGCTCGTCACGGCTATGCGACTGTGTCAATGGCGACTTGTAAGTGAAATCGTCAATTTCGCCCTCCTCTTCTGATGAGCTATCATCTTCATAAGGATCGGACGAATCACTGTCGTCTTCATAACGATCTTTGTCTATCGCTCCCTTTTTCAGTCTTTTCTTAGGGATGCTATAACTTCCCCACTTTTTGGGGTCGCCATCTTGGCCATACAAGAGTTTTTTATCTGCATGATTTGCAGAATTGCCATCTTGGCCCACATCTGCCCCATCTGGGCTACAAACAGGACTATCCATGTCCAAATCAAAAGGCTGCACCAAAGTAAGTAAAAATACTAAGGTTAAACGCAAAATCCACAAGGATTAAAGTAAATAGGTAATAGATAAAAAATTTTCGTCTGCTATATCAACGAAGCCAAACGGAAGAAGGAAGATCTCGCGAGATCTCTTTCTTTAAATAGGCTGGGATTACCGGAAGCCAGGGAGAATACATCATTATACCTTACTTCAGTTTTATGAAATAAAATTTGCAATTTCAATATAAATGCCATGTGTTTAATTTATAAATATATATGATTAAGAAATGAACACTCGTGTTAAACACCGGTGATTAAAATAACGATACAATTATAGAAAATATCATGATATTTGCTTCTATTTCCTCTTTAACAGTTTCTGAAAATTTTGAAATTTTGGCACAAAATTACTAAAATTAATGTTAATTGTGAATGCGTTTGGTATGATCTAAAGTCAACATATTGCCTTGCTATTCGTATTTTTTTCTGTGTCGATAAATATCTGATACTATGTGCGGAATTACTTCGTAAATTAAGACATTGTAACATGACAAATTCATACAGCAAGTACTAAGAAGCAACACTTAATTTATTTTTTGATTTGATGCATATGAATATTACGTGTTTAAGACGGATGATTAAACACCCTACTTATTGAACACCAGTTTAAACATCAGTGTTTAGATATAAAACGCAAGTGTTTTGTATTTAAACGTACCATGTTTAATTGTAAAACACGACTGTTTAAAATTAAACACAAGTTAAACATCATTTTTTACAGTGTATTTGATGAAAATTTTTAAATAGAATTTCACAGCTCTTTTTATGAAAGTAACAGGAAGGACATTAAAGTTTAAATGACTAAGATATGGAATGCCATATACGACAGCCAACTGCTTACTGCCAACTGTCAGATGCTTACTGCCAACTGCCACACATAATTGAATAAATTTTCATAATTTCGTTGATATTTATGAGAATTGTCAAAAAAATCAAAATAAAAAAAAACATGGATCCAGGATTTTTTCCAGGAGTGATCCACCCCAGTAAAAATAAATCGAACTCAGAAATTTCTTGACAAGAAAAATAACGTAATCTCCTTTCGTAAACGTGAAAAATAATTTTGGCGATGTTGGTGGGTTATGCTCCATATCTTCATATCTATGACTTTTCATACAAATTAACCTAATACAGATCCGCGTTTTCGGGGGGGGGGGGGGGGGTCCAAGGTCAGTTTTAAGTACTTATTCTAAAAACCATTCACAAAAAGTTAATTGTTCTTATGTATAACTCCTTTAATAAGGGGTAGAAAATTTTATCAATTGAAATCAGACTGAACATATCATCAGATCTTCAAATACTATTGAAAATGGATAAATGACTCCTTAATCTCATCTAATGTTTTTTTTAATGTAAAATTCAATATATTATTTTTTATTTGTTATCTTATAAAATGACCATTTTCCTGTTTTTAACCCCCCCCCCCCCACATGAGACAACAAAATCTTTGGAAAGGATAAAAACTGAAAAAAGGGATTTGTTGTTGATTCACGGGGGAGTTATTTTAAAAATGAATTTCAATTTCCCGTTAATTTTTAACCTTTGAACATTTTTCTCAAAGATTTATATCTCTTTTTGTTTTACTGCCAACTGTCAGCTGCTTACTGCCAACTGCCACACATATTTGAATAAATTTTATATTTGTATTGATATTTATATGAATTTTCACAAAAACAAAGGAAAAAAAAGGCTCGGATCCAGGATATTTTTTCCAAGGGGGTCACCTTGGTAAAATTGAATTGAATAAAATGACCAATATGTTTTATCTTATGTAATATTCAATATGTGCGGTTAATAAAGTACATTGTTTATTTTTTTTATTTGTTTTCCTATTTGAAATAGGTAATAAAATGCTCATTTTCTGCTTTTAATCTTTAAAGAAGCCCCCCCCTCCCCCGGAGACAACAAAACCTTTGAAGAGAGAATAATAATAATAAAAAAGATTTGTCGTTTCGCAGAGAAAGATGTTTTGAAAATTAATTTCCGTTTTCCATTATATTCTATATATAGTTAAAAATTTCCTCAAATTAAAGATGTACATGTATATCTCTGTGTGTTATAATGTTTCACATGCATAGATCTGGGGGGGGGGGGGGGTTAAAATTTGTACATGCAGTCATACGTTAAATAAACTAAACGAAACACTGGTATAACTGACCTTGGACCCTCCACTTAGAAAACGCCGTTCAAACATTTATATCTCTTTGTTTGTACAAATAAAATATGTTTTACATGCATAGATCTAGAGAGAGGGGTCCAGAATGCCCCTCTGAAATTTGTAATGTTATTTAATGCGCAAACTAAACCAACTAAAAGTTATTTATAAAATAAATCAAATGAAAGGGACCTTAGACCCCTCCCCCTCCCCAACCGAAAATGTGGACGGCCGAAATAAATTTTCACATTTAGTAAAGGACTTTACGTATTTTTTTCTTGTCAAGAAATTTCTGGGCTGGATTTTTTTTTTACCAGAGTGACCCTCTTGGTGAAATGGTCTATAGATCCACGCCATTTTTTTTTAATTACATAAATATTAATATTAAAATAAAATTTATTCAAATATGTGTGGCAGTTGGCAGTAAGCAGTCAGCAGTTGGCAGTAAGCAGTTGGCTGTCGTATATGGCATTCCATACATCTCAGATAAAATGTCAATATTTTTTAAAAGAAATATTTTCTTTTCTGCAATGCAGTGGATTTTAGTAGTTTATTACTGTATTATTCAAATAAAGTTGAAAAAATCATAGTAAAACCACTTTCATTTTTCAAAAATATGTCATTCAAAAAATGAACTTTTTTTTGAAAATGACCCATATATGTTACCTTTAAATCATTACTGAAGGCAATATTTAAAATCAAGACTTCGTCCTACAAAAAAACTTAAAAATAATTCGAAATTATTAGTATGCAGTAAACATTTAATACACTTCTGTACATAATCATGCAAATATATGCAAAATATAAAATACGTGCTTTTTTTCTAAACAAGTTGTTTTTTTTAAGAACTATATATGATAAACACAGTAAAAATTGTTAATACGCTTTGAAATAGATCATTAAAATTTAATCAAGAACATACGTACAACTAAGTTACATATGAAACATGTATTTTTCTTGACACCACTTACATTGATGGTTTTATTTATTTTTTTTTTATTTTTCAATATTTTAAATTTAAAAAAAATGGGAGGGTTCAATGATCGAGAGCTAACCAAAAAATAATTCAAGTGTAAAAACATGTATGTTGAAATTGCATTTAATGATAAAAACTAAATAATCTAAATAATTCGATTTACTGCAAAATCTGTATTATGCAAATTACACGAGCATGATGGAAAATAAAGATTGAATAGTTGAAATATTGAAAGATCAGCGCCATTGCCTACATTTGTATTTTTCTAGCATTGTTTGTAATGCTTGAACAATTTCTTCTTGGAGTTTGTATGCCTTCTTGTGATTCACTTTTTACCAACACATTTTACCAGAAAGAAAAATATTAATGCAGAATCAATATAAATAAAATAAAGTCTAACGCTGATATATATGCATATTAATTACTATAGAATTCATGTGGGGAAAAAATCTTTGTTACTGCTACCCATTGTCATACCTTAACTTTTCAAAAACATTATCTGTTGAGTGTACCTGGGATTATCGATGGAAACGTAATGAATTTTTAAGTTGAGTAAATCAATTTCTATGAATATTCATGAAGTGTATAATGCAATGTAACTATAGATAACTTTAATCCTTGTGGCTTTACTTTTCTTCGAAATTAAAATGGCTTGAAAATGAGGTTTGATTCTTATTAATCCTGAAATCTCGATTAAGATTAGAGATTACATAAATTATGTATTGATATTATTTTTACTGAAATTATTTCTATACGCTAAGATTCAAGTATTTTAAGCCTCTGCTGTGCTGGCATATTCGATGATGTGTTGCTAAGAATTTTTTTTAAGTGTGAAAATGAAACATTTTCTTCTATTATCATTTCCCTCAACTTATCATTCAAGAAATGCACGTAAAACATACGCGAGAATTAAAACTCTGCCTGAATTTGGCTTTTTGGGCACCCATTTTTTTTAAATGGCATAATTTCTCCTTTTAGGCACCTGATTAAACTTAAAGAATTTACGATGTTTTTTTTTTTTTAAAAAGAAGAGTTCATCAATTATAGTTCAAAGAGAATTCAAACACGTTCTTCCAATTCAATATTTTTAAAAACTAGGGATTCCATCAACACATTTTTTTTAAGATAAGCTCCGTCCAATTTTTTTAACTTAATTGTATCTGATAATTCTTTGAAACAAAAATCTTGGAATCAGATATTAGATTACACCTTTGTTGCAAACTTTTCGCTGGAATGAAAGTTAAAAGTCGAACAAGGAAATTTAATCAATGTTTGGAAACAATTTGGTGTATTCACATGGAAAATTTTACTTTGATGTCTTGGAAATTCCAAAAATATATATCATGTATTTTTTTTATTTTAAAATGTGAAATCATTTAAAGATTTTCAGAAAATCAAAAAAAAAAAAAAAAATATTCTAAAGAAAATATGAATATTATATGTGAAAAGAAGAAATCACTTGCTGTGGCATTTAACTCGACATTTAGATATATCGACGACGTACATTGTCAATTAACAGTGGTTATTTCCATTCTTATGATACCATAGAATCTAACGCATCTGTTTCATATTTAGATCTTTTACTTGAAAGGGACGTTAATTGTAATCTAACAACAAAGCTTTATGACAAACGAGATGACAATTTTAATTTGTCAACTTTCCTTACATATGCAGCGGTATATATACATGTATATCTTTCAGTTGATTCGATACGCAAGAAGATGTTCTACGTAATAGGAACAGTTTTCAAACCGAGGTAAATTACTGACAAACAAGTTGATGTAACAAGAATATCAGCAGTCTCGTTTAAAGTCATCATTTCGTAAGTTCTATAGTTGATACAATGACCTTGTCAGCAAATACAATTTATCACTGAGTCAAATGCTGACTACTGTTTTTCATACTTAGGTTAAGCCATAGCATTATTTACACACTGAATTGTCGACGGATTTTTTCGTTATTTCCCAATCATGACTAGGAGCACACGACGCTCACTCCTCCATGGCACTTGATCCCACCTCTGGTGTTTTGG